GCATTCACCGGTGCCCACGCAGTGGATCTGATCGCACACATCATCAAGACTAATGATCGGAACCTGGCTCTTCTATTGGGTCGCGCGCTGGATGCTCAGAAGTTTTTCCACGATGTGACGTACGACCATCGTCTTCGAGATGCACAGGGTGAAATTTACCAATTTAAGGAGACAATGGGAGAAGAGGCACCAAGCTCGGAGGTCAATGGTGTGTTCACGCTGCTCAGTGAATGCTATTCGCCGACGTGTACACGGGATAGCTTGTGCTATTCCATCGCCTGCCCCAGAAGGCTCGAACAGCAGGCTAGGTTGAATTTGAAGCCGCAGCCTGGGCTACGATCGTCTGCTTCCAAGGGCAGTCTGCACGGCGATGACGATGATAACGACAATCAAAAACTCTGGATCAATATGGTTCCCAAGGAGGTATCAGACAGCATTGATGATCGCGAAAAGAAACGTCAAGAGATCATCTTTGAGATTATGTACACGGAACGTGACTTTGTTAAGGATTTGGAGTATTTGCGCGACTTCTGGATGAGGCCATTGCGGGCTGCGGGCAATGCCACGACCTCACCTATTCCCGAGCATCGGCGTGAGAAATTCATTCGGACGGTCTTCGGCAACTGTTTGGAGGTTTTGAAGGTCAACGGTGGACTTTGCGAGGCGCTAAATGCTCGACAAAAGGAAAGCCATGTTGTCAAGACGGTCGGTGATATCTTCCTTCAGCACGTGCCACGGTTCGATCCGTTCATCAAATATGGTGCCAATCAGCTGTACGGCAAATACGAGTTTGAAAAAGAGAAAGCGTCGAACCCGGCATTTGCGAGATTCGTAGAGGAAACGGAGCGTCTCAAGGAGTCGCGCAAGCTCGAATTGAATGGTTATCTGACCAAGCCGACCACGCGTCTCGCAAGATATCCGCTCCTACTGGAGCAAGTCTTCAAAAACACAGCCGAGGACAGTCCAGACCGCCAAGATATCCCCAAAGCCATTGCTCTGATCAAGGATTTTCTGTCTCGTGTCAACGCGGAGAGTGGTAGGGCTGAGAACCACTTCAACCTGGTGCAGCTCAATGCTGCGCTCAAATTCGGTCCTGGCGATTACGTTGACTTGAAGTTGACAGAGGAGAATCGGCAGATGTTGTCCAAGATGGCGTTCAAGAAAACGCCTACAGACAGCTCTGAGGTTACCGCATATCTTTTCGATCACGCAGTTCTCTTGGTCAGAATCAAGGTTGTCAACAAGCGTGAGGAGTATCGCGTATATCGGAAACCTATTCCGCTAGAGCTATTGGTCATTGCCCAGATGGATGAGGTAATACCCAAGGTGGGGATTCCCAAACGGCCGTCGTCCAGCCTTCTCTCCAACAAGGCTGCAGCAAATCCTCCTACCACTAAGGATGGCCTTCCTATCACCTTCAGGCATCTTGGCAAGGGCGGTTATGAGCAAACGTTGTACGCTACATCAACAACTCAACGTCGGAAATTCATCGAATTGGTAGAAGAGCAGCAGCGGAAACTCAGGGAGCGCAATAGCAACTTCTACAACAAGACAGTTCTCTGTGAGAACTTCTTCACATCTGTTAACCGTGTTAACTGCCTTGTTCCCATCGGTATGTTCTATCTTGTCTCAGCCCAAATCCCCGTTCTCCATATGCTAACCGCGCTTGGCTTGGATGCAGACGGAGGCCGAAAATTGGTCTACGGCACTGACAGCGGTATCTACCTCTCCGAGCGTTGGCCGAAGGACAAGTCAGCCAAACCCCGGCGTGTTCTTGATGTCAGCCAGGTCACTCAAATCGATACATTGGAGGAGTATCAACTGCTCTTGGTTCTGTCGAACAAGACATTATCCTCTTACCCCATGGATGCGCTTGAGATTCATGAAAGCCAGAACACGATTGCGAAGCGACCTAAGAAGATTCAAGGTCACGCGAACTTTTTCAAGGCCGGTATTGGACTCGGACGTCATCTGGTGTGCTCCGTCAAAACCTCCGCTTTGTCGACCACCATCAAGGTTTATGAGCCTATGGATAATCTGGCGAAGGGTAAGAAGAAGTCGGCTGTCAGCAAGATGTTCCAGAGTGGACAGGACACATTGAAGCTCTTTAAGGTTCGTACCCTTCCTTCGGACTTTGTTTGTCATCGCGGATCTGGCAGCTAATCATTGGTTTTACAGGAATTCTACATCCCTGCGGAGTCTTCCTCGATTCATTTCCTTCGCTCAACTCTCTGTGTGGGCTGTGCCCGAGGATTTGAGGTCGTCAGTCTTGAAACCACCGAAACACAGTCTCTGCTCGACCAGGCGGATACATCTCTCGACTTCGTGGCTCGCAAGGAGAATGTGAAGCCTATTCACATCGAGCGCATGAACGGCGAATTCCTTTTGAACTACAGCGACTTCTCATTCTTTGTCAATCGCAACGGATGGCGTGCCCGTCCTGATTGGAGAATCTCCTGGGAGGGCAATCCGAACGCATTTGCGCTTTCTTACCCTTATATTCTCGCTTTCGAACCCAATTTCATCGAAATCCGACACATTGAAACGAGCGAGCTGGTGCATATTATGACTGGAAAGAACATTCGCATGTTGCATTCGTCTACCCGAGAAGTAAGTCGATCCTCCGTCAGTCAGGTGATTCGAGCAGTTGCTTACCTTGTCACAGATTCTTTATGCCTATGAAGATGAATCAGGAGAGGATGTGGTCGCCAGCTTGGATTTCTGGAACAAGCCACAACACTGAGTTATCAATCGGTAACAACCACCCGAACGGGTGGAAGGGAAAAAGAAGATGCGAGGGGAGACAGTGTCATGTTCTATTTTCATCCCAAGTGTCACTTCTTTTGCTGCGCTTAGAAAGGCCTTTGTTTTTATCATCCCGGCCAGCTCAAAAACGGCGAGGGCATACATTCATCCATCTGCGTTACTAACCTTGAACACATTACCCCGTTCCCCTTCAGAATCTCTTGCTGCCCTTGACTCTCAGGAGGTGTAGTGCCAGAGATTCTTTCTCAATTTTTTTCTCCTTTCCTTCCTCTAATACCTCCCAATGTCAATTCGTCTCCATCTACCCTGTCTTTGTACCCACCCACCCCCTTGGTCGATTTGGTGTCCCCCGATCCGACCCCGCAAATTCTCTGCCCGACTTGTGTACAATGAAGCGCAAATACCACCTGTTCCTTTTATCCCCATCTTTCTCATTCTTCTCGCACCTTTTTCTTTTCTCTCCTCTTCTCTTCTCTTCTATCATCTCATCTATCTTATCCATCTTAGTCAAGAACTCCATGCTTCTTGTTCATCCTTATGTGGTGCTGCTCGCTGTGATCCGGGGAAGTCGTTCCGTAGCTCTCTTCCTCGGTGCTTCCAACTTCCTAAACCCGCATAAGCTCGCCTATAGCGTTAGTTTTCTTTCATGCACCGGTTGTAGGCCTCTTTTTGGGGAAAGAGTAAAAATGAGCCTGCTGAGCACCAAGCTTACTGGGCACAATTGCACCCTCCCTTTCTGTCGCGCAGCAAGGGAGGTTTGGGGGGTCTATAAGGTAGCTGAAAGCTCAAAGGCCCGGGGCCCGCTAAGTGAATAAGTGAACAAGTTAGTTCGCGCTTCCGCCATCCGCTCCGCTTGCGATGTAGGTAAGCATTGACCTAGTATTGTACAGTACGCCACCCATTCATTCTATATCGATGCCCGAGGATCACGGATTCACATCCCGCGCGGTGAAACATCCATATCTACAAGAGCCACACTTCGCATGTCACGGATTGTGTCCAGGCGGAGCAGGAACAGTCTGGGCGGAATGATATCGGTGGAAAACAAGCTATCCGTCGCCACAATATATGTATGTATCGTACTCGACCTTGGGGCCGCACCTCCCCTATTTCCGATTGCGTCGCTTCGGATTCGTGTTAATAGGTAATATAGGTTTACTGTTCTATCCACCGGACTGAGTTCATCTTGAATTAAAGGAAGTCGAATGGTGGTTGGTAGGTGCCGGGAGGGAAAATCTACGAACTACCTATCTTCCTGCAACTCGGAGTGAACAATCCAAGTCACCCGATGACCACCTTACCACAGCCCTAGACACGATGCATGGGGATGGAGACCGTACAAGAACAAGGGCATGCACGGAGTAGGAAGAGAACCCACGAGTCTGGTTTGTTTGGTTGTTTGGTTGTTTTTTGTTGGCTGCACACACACATACACACATACAAATAACTCAAATATAACGACAAAATATAATAAGCTAAGGGAAACGGAAAAGGAAAAAAAAAAAAAAAAATATAAATTGAGAAACTACCGGACAAAAGAGGGAATCTTGCTGCGCGCTGCTGACACTGGGACAGGGTTTCATGTGAGGGGAAGGGGAGTCGAAACGAAAAAAGAACAAAAAGGAAGAGTAATGGTCAAAAGGAACGAGAAAACCAGGGACAACACAATGTTAAAAGTTTGAAACTTTATGCAAATGCTTTCCTCAGTGATAACTGTGAGTGATTAAAAATGATGCTATTCTTCTGACTCCAGACATCTTGCAGCACGGGGTGGGGGTTGTTAGATGATTGGTGGCTCTCGAAAGACGATGTGAAGTTGAAGGTTGGAAGATTGCAGCCGAAAATATGTCCGTTCCTTTGCCCTTCTTCTCTGTTCTTGTCTGTCTGGTATGGTTTCCAGAGGGGTGGTTGGTGGCGGTGGGAAGGGTAAACAAGAGAGAAAACAGCCAGAGAGGATTTGTTGTTCTCAGTCATCGTCGTACTAAAACGGAACGTTGCATTTGCCCTCCCCTTTCTCTTGCAGATCAAAAGAAAAATCAGGAAAGCAAAAGAGAAAAAAAAAGAAAGAGAAAGAGAAAAAGCTATTAACGTGAATAAACGGCCGACTAATCTTAACCCCGTAGACAGTTACGACTGCCGCGCCACGGTTCTCATTACAAAGGCACATACGGTGTCAGATGTCAATCATGTGGAAACCGTTTTCCATGAGTCCCAGGGATTTCGACGGTGTTCGTTTAGGCATCTCCGTTGGTGACATCGACCTGGCTCTGGCTGGCCTCCCGTGCCATGCGGGCCTCGATTTCCCTCAGCTGGCTTTCGCGAGCCAACAGCTCCTGGCGTTTCTCAGCAATCTCACGCTGCACCTTCAGCTCGATCTCACGGAGCTTCTCCTCCTCACGGCGGAGCTGCTCCTCCTTCAATCTAACGGACTGGGAAGCCAGATCCTCGGGGTTCATGGAAGAGTCTTGTGTACTGTTGCGGAGGTATTAGTCGGCGAACGGAGAGCACGAATGATGCCAAGGCTAGGAATACGTACGGAGTAGCACCGTCCACGCTCTTGCTGAGCTTCTCGGTACGGTAGTTTTCGTAGAGGAAATCGTGGGTGATTTCCTTCAGATCGGCCAAGTGGCTGTGAAGAAGGGCGCTGCGAATGGCCAGGAAGTCGGAGTGACGAGGGTTTTCGACCTCTACAACACCCCACGGATATTGCCTGGCACGCACCTTCTTGCCATCGATCTCAATCAACTCATCGGAACCAACAATAGCGAATGGCATGAGACCCCGCAGCTCGGCATTCTCCTCCACGGTATCTTCGTCGTCCTCCTCGATGTCGTACGGGAAGTTGTAAACAGGGATGCGGTAGTGCTCGATATCCTCCATGATCAGCTTCTTCGATTCGGCCAATTCGGCGGGGGTGAGGGAGTCGGCCTTGCCGATGACGGGGATGACGTTGACACGGGGCGACAGGCGCTTCATCAACTCGATGTCGAGCTCACGGAGACCGTGACCGGTGGGTGTGATGAAGTAAAGGAGGACATGGACACGGTTGTCCCTGAAGCGGGGGTTACGCTTGATCCGAGACTCTTCGGCCAGAATATCATCGTATTGACGCTCAAGGTATCCAACGATTTCCCCGAAGCTGCGAAACGGTCAGTCGTGCACTGGGAGTGGTATTGCGTGCAGCCAGGGCCACCTGCCTTGCTTCGTTGTCAATCTGGTCACCGAAACCGGGGGTATCGACAATGGTGAGGGAGATGCGGGTGCCTTCGTCGTCCAATTCGAGTTCTGTCGAGCGGTGCGTTAGCACCAGCGTTGAAACACTTAGTGTGGTGGCCTACTCACCGACTGTGACAGGCTTGATGCGGACACCCTCCTCAATGTGAGCGTTGGCAGCGTCGTCGGCGTCCTTTCCTTCCAGGACCTTCTTTCCGCAGAGAGTGTTGACAAAGGTAGTGCGTCCTAAGGAGATCGAAACGGATGGTCAACTTTTGGACTGGAGAGCGTGACTGCGCGGGTTGCAAACGTACCGGTTCCGCTGGCACCACAGACCATCAGACAGAACTGGATACCCTTCTTGACGTTTTTCTTGCGACGGAGCTTGGGCTTGAAGTTAGAGGCGAATTAACCACAGTTAAGACTCAGAGCAGAGTTGAAGCAGTTGACACGATCAAAAATACCTGTGCCCCAAAGCCATTGGAAGAGGGTGGTGGTGGTAATGGCGGGGGTGAGGCAATTCGAGCGGCCGGGCATAGAAAGGGGAAGGATAACAACTTACCGCGCTGAATGAGGAAGACATGGTGGGCTAAAGAAGGGAGGTGGGGGGAAAGGGAGGGAGGGAGGGAGAAACAAAGAAAGAAAGGAAGATGAGGGTGGAGAGTAGAATTAGAGGAAGAGTTTAAGCAAGCGAGTGGAAGGGGTGGAAAGAGGAGGAAGATGAAGTAAAGGAAGGTCGTGGGAAGTGGAGGAGGAGGAGGAGGATGAAGGGAAGGAAGATAGAAGGGGAATGAATGGAGATGGAATGGGATGGGATGGGATGGTTGTTGCTCGTCTCTCCCCTGAGGAGATGCTCTGGTCTTCCCGTTGTAAGTACTCCGTACTGTACAGTACTTACTCTTAGTTAGTCTGCCTTCCCACTGCCGCCCCCGTCAAACTTGGCCGTTGACTAGTGTTTAGGGGGTTAGCAAGGCCACCACCTACGGACACCTCAGGCATAAATATCCATCAGTCTTCCCCCATGACCATACACATACCAAAGTTACACTCCCGCAGGACTCCCCTTTTCCCCATCCAGTGGCAGGTAGACCAATCATCACTATCCCTCACTATCCCAGGTCCTTTTCTCCAGACTGTCTGCGAGTGGTCCACCGTAATTCTGGTACGACCCGGGCTCAAGCGCAGTGCTGTGGCTCTTCCCACATGCCCCCATTCATGTTCACCCATGGATCACCCCAGGTACACTCCGAGGTCAGACTCCCTAGTTTGCTATCCGTAGTTTGCTAGTTTTTACTACGGAGACTGCCAGGCACTTACTCGTTTACACAGCTGTCGGTGGTAGGTATGGGGTGCTCGAAAGAATACTTATATAATGGACCTGTCCGATCAGGAGGCTTTTAAGGATCGTCAATAATCAATTATTGTCAGGCGACGCAACTCCTATTTCGCCTATTTCGCAGCACTCACTGGAAATCAATGGTGCAGCAACTGCGACAGGGTATGTACCTGACTCCAAGCAGACAAACCGTGAGACCGGTCTGTTTTGCCAGTCCTCAAGGGGCATCCAGATGCCCAATGTGGGCAGTCTTTGTTTTGCAGCCGGACTATCATCAAATGATTGCTGGGTTTAGTTCAGGGGTTTATGGCCACCAAAAGTTCCGATCGCCGCCGTGGGTCGCTGTGGACCGCCGTTTGCCTTGAGAATTGGGCCTTGGGCTCTTGGATGCCTGAGGCAGAAGAATCTTTTGCTGGTTGACTGTCTACACGCTTCACGGAGGGGAATTGACAGGGCACGCTGCACAGCCAATGTGTCTCTGAGATAGAACGATCTCTTTAGCTGCCTGCCTAGGTTCCGATCTATGTTGAGCTGCGAAGCAGAATGTTGCAAATGGAAGACATTGTATTTCAGCCTGCATACCAAATACCCACGAACTCAACATTTTCAGCATCTCATGTCCCCTCTTCAGGATACAATTCGCTTTGGTCCAGCAGAGCCAGGAAGTCCCTGGTGCGAGCTCCCGTGTCGAGCATCAGCTTTACGTTCCCCTCATTTCCCTTCGACGGTATCTTCTGCCTCAGCTTATAGGCCACGGATCTCATCTGCCAGACACTAGTGAGCTGAGACTGGGCCTTGACTGCCAGGTGATAGAGTAAATCCGTCTCGCGCTCTGTCAGATTCTCGATCAATGTTTTGGAAGCCTTGTCCTTCTCCAAGAATTTGTCGATGTGATCTATAGTCGGCTCGGGAAATCCCAATCTTGGGGCCAAGAACGCCAGCCAGTCGGCCCGCATGTAGTCTCTTTCATTCAGCAGATTATTATCGGTATCCTTCCACAGCGGCATTTCGGGGATGAGCAAGACTTCCGGTTCAACAGGCGGCTGAGATCCGCCCCGAAAGGAGTCCCATTTGGATCTCAGGAAACCTTTCTCTGGAGGCGGGAAGACTCCTCTCCAGAAGATCCCTTCTTGGATTTTACCGGTGGTTGGGTCCTTGGGGTCCTTCACGCGGGTGAAATTCTTCAGTGCTTCCGGCTGATAGCGTAGCACCGGTCCTTGATTGGCCTCCCGGTACGGTTTGCCGAGAGCATAGGCAACCACGGGATGAATATATTCTTCGGTAGAATAGAGATCCGGATTCAGAGCAACCAGCTCGTTTTTGTCATTCTTCCTGAGCGGTTTGTACTGGCCCGGGGTGCGATTGATGGTGCCTGCAAAGCTCATACCGAAGGTCATACTGTCGGGACGGAAACCCATACCCCAGCCACCATACCCAGTACGATTGTCGGGGTCAGCTTCGTCGTCGTGAGTCTTGCCGTCACCCTTAGCGTAGCTGTAGCTGTGTGCCTTGTCCCATCTTTTGAAAGAGCGCTGCGATAGGTCAAGGATAGTGTTGGTGTATGTTTGGTAGAGACGTGTTAATTCGTAAGACTCGAATTGGAGGTTCGTGTGCTCTCGAACCCGGTCGATCATCCACGCCAGTGACAGGCTCGCCATCGATTCCAGATCTCCCACATGGTGCGCAGTCTCCTCACTACCTCCTCCGATATGGATGTGGCATCCCGGGAACCAGCACTGAATCAGTTTGGTCGTGGTGTTGCGGGTCGGAAGGTGCCAAAGTGTCGGACTGAACGGTGCTCGATGATCATCTAGCGCCAGAGCGTGAAAGGCGTGCTTGATCTGCGGGTGCACATCTGTATCATGAAAGCCATGCTCAGTACTGTTGTAGCTTGTGAAATCAAACCAAGTGTTGTTGGGCAAGCCTAGAGCGCCGACAGTGTCGAAAACTCCAACGACCTCAATCGGGACATTCTTGTAAAACCGATCCTCATACTTCAGGCCCGCGGTAGCACCTTTCGAGCCGCCACTCCACGTGTCGATCCACTGGCCAGAGATCTTGTGGGTATTGCAGACAAGGGAAAATTTGTCCTGCCTATTCAACCTTTTCTTGTAATCATCGTACATGGCCCACCAGTCATCCATCATATCCGGCATGCAAATGCCCATATTGCAAACCAGGCCGGCCAAGGCTCGGGCCGTGTACGCGCCCCGGGAGAAACCGAAGATGTAAATCTCATCTCCGGGACTCCAATTGTTGACCTAGTATGAAGTTAGGATAGCCCAGGCGCTTGTGATACTAGTTTTCCTGCTTACCAAGAAGTTGTATCCTTCGCAGACATTTTCCTCCAGTCCGCGACCGAACGCGCCCTCCCAAGTCTTCTGAATCCCAGCCATCGTGTTGGCCAGCCAGTTCTGGTCATCCTTCTTGCTCGTGCCAGTACCTACGCCTGCGTTATAGTAGACAATCTGGTGGACAGCATCTCCCTTATCATCCGCAAGCCCGCAGCGAGCGATGGCACGACTGAGCCTTGCGACATTAGACGGGATGTTCATCTGCCCATGGTTGGACGACTGCCATGATCCATCACAGCAGATAATCAACCGCTTTGGCGGACCCTCGACGCGAACAGAGCGGTCCTTCACAGTAGTGGTTCCAATCTGCAAGAAGGGTTCCGTCCCAATGTTACGGATCTCATTGATGTTGATGGGCTCGGGCGCGGGGTCCCCCATGGTTCCAAGGGCAGGCTGTTTTGGAGAATTGAATTTTGAACAGACATCCCTCGGAGGCAGATCTTGAGGATTGCCTTTTAAATCGCATTCCGAAGGGCTATGGAGCTAATTCTGCATGAACATGCACTCGCCCCATCGTATTCGTTAGCGAGCTGAAAGATGGATCTACGCGGCGTAGCTGCGGATGGTGTCTCTGATTCGTCCTTTTTTTCATTTTTCTTTGCCGAGCGCGGCGATCGACACAGATCGGAAGAGACGTGCGTGAACTTGCGTTCTCCTTCGCTCAGACACTATGAAGATATGGGGCTGTGTCCGGATCTTGAGACATGCTGAATGCTGAGGAGTGTCACAATTGAAGCTAACGCAGTGTGCACCATCGGCCAGCTGAAGAGATCAGCCACATTTGATGTGTCGGGTGAAGCTATCGCGCGTTACGGCAACTGCAGCGGTTCGGCACGGCCAACCCCATTCCCGATCAATTCATCATAGACGCAAGGTCACTAGGGCGGACACTCAGCCGGTAGGTCATGTGCCAAAGTAGCAGTTAGAAATCATAGATTTTGAGTGGAGATATCAAGAGAGATTCTGTGGTGAGTGTATGTGTGTGCCAAAGTGGGAGTCGATGCGAAGGGTCCGGCTCGGCCCGTGTCATTTCCTTTGGAAGGCCGAATCGCTCTCCAAACCACGGCTCAATCGATCCCTGCCAGTACGGTAAATCATGCAGAAAACTGCAGAGGGTGGGGAATCAAAAGATAGATTCGAATGCACGAATGCAGCATTGTTTTTATTCGGTAGGTCAACCCCTCAGTCGAAGGGAATGCCTGCAACACGAACAGTGCAATTATTCTGCCATTGATGATGTCAAAGCACAGACTTCTCATAGGCGATATCCTCGAGTATTCCCAAACATAGAAGTGATCAGTCGCATTGCCATGTGCTCATACAGGATATTTGTATACTTGTATCTCACTACCGTGGTAAACCATATGGCTTGGTTGACTGCCGATTGACTTTATAGAGTGAAGACCCCGTCTTGAAGTTCGGACGTCTTTAGGCCGGGGGAGACGGAAACTAATCCAGGAAACGTGGGGGTGGCCCCGGATTAGACCGCGGATAACTGCTCTTCGGGTCGGACATGCACCGAGCTGTACATTTGTTTAAATTGTCTCCATTGACCTCATCCCGGGCGAGTCCCTTCGAAAAACAAAATCTCTGGACAATCCGATATCACAGCCTTAGAACAATTAAATTTCACAACATAACAGCAAGCGCAATGGCCTCCAAAGTTGCCGACCCCCGGAATCTTCGCGACCAGTCCGTAGTGGCACACGGCTTCTGGCTCACGTATGTTGCTACCCCTCATTGCCCCTCATCTCCTCAAACCTACCCTCTGCGGTGGTGCTTCCCAACGTCCAAGCCGCAACGCACTCCTGAAATGCACCCATTGACTAACGCGGCTCTGTCATCGTTTATAGATTTCCCAGCGCTCCCCTCGCCAAAACCATCCTTCATCGTCCTTTCACAGAAAAGTCTAAATTCAGCTGGGTTCTCATTGACGCAGAGCATGGATTGATCACGGATAGAGATTACTATGACGTATGGCATCTTCACTATCGACTGGGAACCCAGCGCGCTAACGATGGCTGATGTAGCTCACCAATGCTGTTGCTTCGGAAGGAGCTGTCCCCATCATCAGAGTCCCTTGGGGGGAGGAATGGATGATCAAACGAGCCCTTGACGCCGGTGCTCACGGTATCCTCACGCCCATGTGCCACACCGCAGTACGTGCAATGCACGATCCCTCGTGATGTTCCACGTCTGTGACAGACAGCAGTACTAAAAGCTTCTTCTTTCCAGGCCGACGCAGCCAACATTGTCAGATACTCCAAGTACCCACCCCTGGGAACCCGTGGCTTCGGACCGCTATTCGCCACTCACTCATTCCCGAGCGTACTGCCTGGCGATGACTACGAAGCGGTCTCGCAGGACGGAATCATAGTTATGGTGCAGATCGAGTCCAAGTCCGGTGTGGAGAACGTGGAGGAGATCGCTCGCGTCGACGGTCTCGACGGCATTCTGATCGGTATATTAGGCGTAGAGCTCCTGTAGATTTCAAGATGCTGACTTGTGTATCGCAGGTCCTTTCGATCTTGCCAAGCAATTGAACGTCACTAGAGGCGGCGAGGAGCATGAGGCTGCCATCAAGCGCATCTTGGCTGCTACCAAGGCTGCCGGAAAGAGGGCGGCGATATTCTGTAGGTTCTATCCTGCACTTCCCGGCAATTAAGTTTCGAGACATGCTGACAGGAATAGGTACCGGTGGCGTTGACGCTCGGGCTCGCATAGAGCAAGGCTTTGATATGGTATCTGTTATTACCGACGTTGGACTATTGGGCGACGCAATGCAAAACGAGTTGGACATCGCTACCGGTCAGAAAGAGATCGACGGCTCCAAAGCCTCGGGGTCAGGATATTAAAGGATTCGGCCATGAATTATGATAGAACTTTCTTATTTGTATACGAACAACTTTGCGCAATAAACACCTGGGTTGAATGAAATACATCTTCATCGGGACTGGGCTGAAAGAAGCATGATAGCCTCCACAAGCACATGATGACTGGTCGTTGACTATAATCGAGTATTAGGACATTGATATTTAATCTCATGTAGCCAAAATGAATAGTTATGCTCAGACAGATATTCCCTACCGGGTAAGTTAACCACTTAGTTAACTTCCATTCGCATATTACATCATTTATGCCCGGGGCGTAATTTATGCCTCAGGCATCATGATTGCAACGCCCATTTGTACCGTTCATTGTTTGATGCAAGATAATCTCTTCGCATCTTCCAAACTCCAAAATATACCTTCTCAACACCAGGTTTTCCATTCACTAGCCCACAGTGCCGATTCACATGCATTGCAGGCATTAATGGCCCAACTCTATGACATCTCTCCTAGCCTGATTTACAAGGCGGCAGCGACATTAGCTAGGCGGCTACGATGAGGTCAGCGCCCGTCCGGCGGCCGATCATCTGCTTTTGGCCTTCCCCGGAATCCCAGCAATCATGCCTACTTGAGTCTATCCCCATCCTACCCAGCGCTGATGGCCTCCTTCCTTGGTTGCCAAGATGAACACTCGCCAAGTCATCGATGAGTCGGTGGGGCCGTACTCCCTGTCGGCCTCATTCAACAACGACAACACATGTTTCGCCGTGGGCCTGGACACCGGTTTTTGTGGTAAGCGGTCACGCACATGTGCTGCTGCTCTTCCCTCGAGGAAGCCGCTCTCTTATCGGGACAGCAGCCAAGCTAACCAGAGCATCGAACAGTCTTCAAAACCGACCCCTGTGAGCTTACTGTTTCCAGAGGTACTTCACAATACATCTCTTTTCTATCTTTATACTCTATTTGCATATCGAGTCCGGGTTGCTAATCACTGCTCTGAACATCCCTACAGATTTCAACGCCGGCATCGGTCTGGTGACCATGCTCGGCCAGTCGAGATACCTCGCAATCACCGGCGGAGGAAGACAACCGAAGTTTCCTCAGAACAAGGTGCGCACGGAATCTCCCTCCCATCTTCTCCCTCCCATCTTCTCCCTCCCGACATGCTTGGTTTGTGATGCCCGTGAATTTATACTGACGAGGAGGGTCTCGTGGCTAGTTGGTGATTTGGGACGACGCAAAGCAGAAAGCCGCCATCACACTCGAATTCCGCACCTCGGTTCTAGGTGTCCGCCTATCCAAGTCGCACATCGTCGTCGCGCTGTTGAACAGTGTCCATGTCTTCGCTTTCTCGATCCCGCCGCGGAAGCTCTCGGTCTTCGAAACGGTGGATAACCCTCTGGGTCTGGTTTGCCTGGGGGAGAGGCTACTTGCTTTTCCCGGCCGATCCCTCGGGCAGGTCCAGCTGGTCGAGCTCGAGACCGGGAACGTGAGCATCATCCCAGCACATGCGCACCCTCTGCGGGCCATGACTCTGAGCTCGGATGGCGCGCTTCTGGCCACGGCAAGCAAGAGGGTAAGAACATCGAGCTTTTTTCCATATGCATCAGGCTAGGAATTGATTCTAACTTACGTCTCTTCTAGGGTACTATGGTCCGGATTTATTCTACGAGCAATTGTACGAGGATAACCGAGGTACGCCGGGGTCTTGATGAAGCAGATATATTCTCGATTGCTATATCACCTTCCAATACGCTGTTCGCCGTGACGTCCGATAAATCGACCCTGCATGTCTTCCCAATGCCCAGACCTGAAGGCTCAAATTCAAAGTGGGGATTCCTGGCAAAGGTTCCTATGCTACCCGGGTTCTTCTCCGACACATATTCATCTGCCACTGCACATTTTGAGATAGGCCACGAACAGTCATCTGAATCAGCCTTTAATATTCCTCCCCTGGGAAATTCGCTTGGGAAACCGTCCAAAGGGAACATCGGCTGGCTCGATGATAGGACCATCCTCGTGATTGGCTCGGGTAGGGATGGGCGATGGGAGAAATTTGTTCTTCACGAAGGCGATGACGGCAGACTCTATTGTACCAGAACGGGCTGGAAGAGGTACCTAGGAGGAGGCTAAGGGGGAAGTGTCCGCCGGGTTTGTTGAGAGCTTCATCGACAACATTCGTGGTCTGGTCTTTTTGTGGTGTGGCCATACAGTCACCATCTCCGTTGCAGGCAACACCCACACTGCAGAAAAGTCTCAACGAGCGATCCAACAATGCGTGCGCCGCTTGGATATCGTATGATCAACTGATTTTGCTGATGGAACTCATATTGACTGACAGAATTTGGCTATCGAGGAGCGATCCCGGTGCTCCTGGAACTTGCTTGGTGGCGTTTTGATTGCTTTGGATAGAGGCTTGACCTTTTTGAGTAGTATAATTTATAATTAGACAGCCTTGCTTTAGACATCTAACGATTGCGGTCTTCTCGGTCCCTGTTGCGCCTCGGCTCGGGTGATCTGGACGCGACTGGCGTCCGGTCTCTGTAGGATCTGTCTCTTGTTCTGGAGGTCGAGCGGCGGTCTCTGTGCGATCGAGATTCCCTTGCGGGCGATCGGCGATCCCGATGTCTCCTTTCTCGCGAGCGTGAACGGTCGTCATCATACCGGCGACGGTGGGAACGGTGGTGACGGCTCGATCTTTCGCGGCTGTGCTCTCGCCTGCGCGAGGACTTCTTCTCACTCGACCGTGTCCTCTCCAGCGCACGCGCAACCTCTTCCTTCTTCTCCTCAATGAGGAACTCCTTCATCGGATCCTCCTCGTCATGGGTCCTGATCAGCTCCTCCAATTCGAGTTCCTCCTTGAGCTTCGGGCGCCGGCGGGCTTCCTCTTCTCGCGGTTCGCTGGTCCGGCGCTTCCGTCTTGTCGTCCGCTCGTCGTCGGTATCTCGATCGTCGACGGCCTTCCCGCCGGCCGTATCTTTCCCCATGAGTTTCGCGACGTTGTCCGTCTCCTCCTCGTCATCTCGTCGCTTGTAGCGCGTGTGGTCCACGCGCAGGACCCGCCCCAACACAGTGGCCCCGCCCAGATTATCGACCGCGAGATCTGTGCTGCGTTGGTCCTCGTACTTGAGGAATGCGAACCCCCGGCTCTTCCCGGTGTCCTTGTCGCGGATGAGGTTGATGTGGACCGGCTCGCCGTACTGCGAGAAGATTGTGAGGATGTCGCCCTCGGACAGGTCGAATGGCAGTCCTCCGATGTAGATGTAGGCGGTGTCGCGGTAGTCGGCGTGCCAGGAGGCTTCTGGGGGTCTGAGAGCATCTGGTCAGCGACCGTAACGAGGAAAGGAATCCCGGCGGTAGAAGGGGCGACTCACACGGCATTTTCAAGCTCGCGCTTGTTCAGCGCTTGGACTTGGCGGATGTTATTCATGTTTGAGGTGCAGGTGAGAGAAGCTGCGAGATCTAGGCCAAAGTATTCATGGATATGGAATAATTGCGCGAATTGAAGGTTGAGGTGACGAGGAAAGAGAAGGGGTTGCTGGTCGTGCTTTTCTTGCTTTCTTAAGCAAGCGGAAGTTCGAAATCACGGGCTTGACCGCGGGAAGGGAAGAAGGGAAGAAGGGAAGGTCCCCACCCGCAGCAGACCGTCCCAAACCTATGGGTTTAATTGTTTACAAGCTAGAAAAGAATAGGCAAACCGCAGTCACTTCCACTTCAATCCTCCACCGCTCGATTCAGTCTTATACACCAACCAACACACACGACAAACCACGAAGATACCTTTTTTTTTTTTTTTTCTTTGCGACCCGCGGCAGAAACACCGCACACTTAAAACTTTCAGTCCGATCGGGCGAGCAAGCACAACGTCTGGGCTGTTTTGTGGTCCTCCCCCGCCCTCCGAGATCTGCGCGGCCAACGCCAGATTCCCCTGACACTCCAGTGTGGTTCCCGATAAACCCTCCCACCTATCCTCACGAATTTCCCGCAATCAACGCGTCTTGTTCGACTACTCCCCCCAAAGATAGTCACCTCGATCTGACCTGGAATGAACTGCGCCAGCTGAGCATGGTCGAAATTGGATAGACAATGTTAGCGTCGAGCCAGAACACAGGGTCCCGATTCGGGACCGGCAGCAACAACAGTCGGCCGTCGAGCAAAGACGGCACCAAGAAGAATATCTGGTCCTCTATGCTAGACAGCGTCGCAAATGGAAAGCGACTGCCAGAGAAGAATCTTTTGATCCTAGGTTTGGATTCCCTCCCTCAAAACCTCCTCCGGTACTGCGCCCGCACCCGTTGGCCGTGTTTCCGCCCGAATCCATCTGTCGGTCAATGCTGATTGTGCTGAAACTACAATCTAGGTGGCACACCGGAGACGCAAAGAGAGTTCCTCGACACTCTATCCGCCGATGCTTCAGATCCCAGCTTGTCGTCGTCAAACGACCGGCGAAAAGGGCGAGTACCGCCGGTGGCCAACCAGTTCGCCTTAGGATATACTTACCAAGATGTGCTGGACGCTGATCACGAAGGTAATCATCCGAGTTCGTCCCAGTGGATTGTCAGGTCTCCGCGGGCCCTTTCCTTCCATTTCCGCAGTCGTATGCTAATGAGGATCTGCTCCATACAAAAGATATTCTGGCGCGTGTCTCCGCATACTTACTTTCTGAGCCCTCCCTTTCCTTTGCGCCCCTCCTCAAGCCGCTTCTGACTGCGCAATCGGTGCCGGAAACCTTGGTTGTGATCCTCCTGGACTGGTCGGATCCTTGGACCTGGGTGCGTCGACTGCGCGAGTGGGTGCGCCTTCTGAGACATGTCCTCATATCGCTCGACGATGAGACGAAGATCGTCATGGAGGAGAACATGACCGAGTGGAGGGATCGGAAACGGGGCATGGACGCTAGCTCGGCCGGCGCGCAGGGTCTGACGAGCTCCGGTGGTCCCGTAACAATACCTCTCGGCCCTGGCGAATGGGACGAAGGGCTCGGTATACCCATGTGTGTTGTGTGTCAAGGGGTAAGTTGGTCCGATGCTTGGGGGAGGTCAACAACTGACGATGCTCTTGTTTGAATCAACCAGGCCGACAAGATCGAGAAGCTGGAGAAAGACCACGGCTGGCACGAAGAAGAGTTCGACTTCATTCTCCAATTCATGAGAACACTGCTCTTGAAGCGTATGCAACCTACCATCCCTCAATTCGAACTGCGAATTCTAATTGATTACAGATGGCGCGTCACTTATCTACACCACACCGTTCCTTGCCAACTCCCTCCAAAGCTTATTACACTCATCCCTCGGCATCCACTCATTATTAAAACGGCAATCATTTAAACACAACGTCATCGATCGGGATAAGATCCTCGTCCCGTCGAATTGGGATTCGTGGGGCAAGATCCGCATCATCCGCGAAGGATTTGACATGGACGGCGTCTCAACCGCCTGGTCCATCGAGATCCAGGACCCCCCGGAGCCGATCACTAACGGCGCCAGTGCCGGCGATCTGGAAGATGAGGCGGCCGACGACGGCACCAGCGCGGTCGCGATCTTCGAACAGACGATCAAGGATCCGAAGCGGGACACGTCAATGGCTCACCCCGGAGGCCAAACGAACGGAACCAAGATTGAGGTCGACACGTCCGACATGCAAACCTTCCTCACAAAACAACTCGAGGTTCTGGAGCAGCTCAAGTTGGAAGACGAGAAGGACCGCACAGCGAAGCAGGTGCCGCAGCTGGAGATGTCCCCGCTGGACGACAACGGTCGGGTCAACGAGCATATTGGCCCTGTACAATTCAACATGGGAGGTATCCAAGTCGACGCGGATGACATGCTCCGCAAGCTCAAGGTCAGTGGAACATCGTTATATCCCATAGAAACAAAGAGCCAATCGCCTAACCTCAACGCAATCTACAGGAACGAGAAGCCAGCCGATCACAGAAGAAAGAAACCCCCTCTGCCACGGGCGACGAGAAAGCGCACAACCAAGCGCTGGCCAACTTCTTTGCTGGCCTCGTCAAAAAACCCGGCACCACTGGCAGTCCCCGCGGAAGTCCATCAGCCTGAAGCCATCCTAGAGAGGCTCAGCAGCAGCAGCACGAACCATCTTTGTCACAAGGACGAAGTTTTCGAACCTGTAATAATATTGCTTTCTTCCCCTACCATACCTACACGTGCCTACCCACCCAGTACATATTGAGATTCGTCTTCCGGGTATGATGATGGCTTTCAGCTTCCTGCTGAGGCTATGCGAGGATCACTGTGAGTGGCCTTTGTATCACAACCCGGGAGATCTTGTTTTTTTGTTTCGTGATACCAGATTGGCTTGGGGGATGGGACACTGGACTTGATACTTGATTGAGGAGTCAAGGAGGTAGTAGCTAGGTAATTCATTGGGGGGTTGGGGCTGAATGGAACCCGGAAGAAGGGGAACCAGGGAGGAGAGATTATGGGGAGGGCGATTTGACTCTACGTAGTCGACCTGGTTTTGTTTGTTCGGGAGGGGGGTTGGGGGCGGGGTTCCCCCTTGTCACATTTGAATGATATAAATTCATTAGCGCAGTTCTGGAGTCTCGTTCTCAGTTTTCTCTGCTGTGGATATGGATACCAATTGAAGATTGTTGTGCTGAATGTGTTTGTTTGTATCTGGGAGACAATCCTTGTCTTGATACTGGCTGATTAGGAAGGAAGTCGTGGATGTGTTAACTACCATATAAGCGGAGCGATGTACACAATCACGGGAAATTCATTTAACCAAGATGCCAGATATTATTACACGACTACACCCAGAACCTGCTTTTGCTGTGCACAGAGCACATACAAAGCACCTATAAATACATTGTCCAACAAGGCAGAGGGAGTGTTTACACTCCCCAAAAATGCCAAGGCTGAAAAGAGCCCCCGGTGGAAAGAAGGGTGATGATCATCGATGCCAATCACCAATACTCCCACACCAGATCCGGCAGCACGGTGCGCATGATCTGCCAGTGCTCGAGGGCGGAGCGATCCTGGTACTTGTGCAGGAGGTGGGACTCGCGGTCCGTCAGCAGGCGGCGGCCGTTGGGCGGGATGACCTCGAAGCGGGCGGGGTCGACCTCGTGACGGGGGAGCAGGTGGGTCTCGCGGAACTTGCTGCCCAGGTAGTCCTTGGGGGCGGGCTGGCGGAAGCGCAGCGGGGTGGCGGCGCTCTTCTTGCAGAAGATGACCATGTTGGTGAAGTCGTTGTTGAGGTCGTCGTTCTCGGCCGCCTCGCGGAAGACGCGGCAGGTCGGGAAGACGGCGCGGATGGTGCGGATGGTCAGGGCCGCAGGGTAGAGGGTGATGTCGCCGGCGTAGTTCTGGGGGTGTGGGGGGTTAGCTTTGTGCGGTGGTTTTGGGGTTGGGGGGATGGGGGGTTGGGGATTTGTACAAGGGCAATGACGCCGTCGTCTTTGAGGAGCGAGGCCAGTTTCTCGATGAATTCGATGGTGAAGAGCTCGAGGGGCTCGGCGCCGCCGGTGAAGACGTCGTGGACGATGTAATCGTATTGGGCCTTGGGAGAGCGGTCTACGAAGGTGGTGGCGTCCTCGATGACGGCGATGTGGTTCGCGGGGAGGTGGAAGTACTCCAACGCGAACTGGTGCACGACGGGGTCGATTTCCACGATCGTGGTCTCGATGCCGTGCTCGATCAGCGCTGACGGCGTGGTTCCGACACCGAGACCGCTGTGCGGGGATTAGCCTTTCTGGTGTGGAGCTTGCAGGGTCTGGTGCTTACATGACGAGTGCCTTGCTGTCGGCGTCTACGCGGGGCTCGCCGTGGTCGGTCTCCACAAGGCGGACAGATTCCAGCATGGTAAAGACTGCGTAGATCGGGTCCAAGGTGGCAGGGCTGTAGCCGCGTGGCATTCTGGTCCACTGGCCTCCCAGCAGGCTGTGGTCGCATCGCATGACTCGGAAGCCATCGTTCAGGTTGTCGAGCACCGAGATGTAACCGGTGTTGGAGTCCTGACGGGCAACCAGCGCGAAGCCCTCATCGTTCAGGTACGAGTTCAGGGCTCCGTCGCTGAGATGCACGTTGGAGGTGGCCGAGAGGAGCAGCGAGGGGACTGCGAAGAGCAGGAATTTGGAGGGAATGACGGCAGAGTACAAGGCGGGCAGCAAGAATTGCAAGCCGGCACGGCTGAAGAAGATGGTCGATCCGATGAACTTAGCCAGGAATGCCTTGGCAATCTTCTCTCCAACCTTGTAGATGACATAGGTGGACAGGAGAGGAACGTGCTCGGCAACGGCTTCACCGTGACGGCCTAGGTCCAGACCTGCCTGCACCAGCTTGCCTGCACAGGCGACGGAGAGGATGACCAATGGATAGTAGGCAGCGATCTCGGTGAAGATGGGGCCGACGGGATTTCCCAGGACAGAGCTCGACGAGAATAGGAAGGTCTGGATGGTGGGAATCCAGAAGGCCACGACTGGGATGAAGTAGACCGCCTTCCGGCCGGAGAGTCGCTGGATGTGATCCTTCATGAACCATCCCACAGCGGCCACAATGGCAACTCCATAGGCATGGAAGACGTGGGTGCCGTGAGTACCATAGACAGGGGCCAAAGTCAGAACCGTCAAAGGCGAGTAGAACGCGGTGAGCACCAGCAGTGCTGCACCGGTCACCAGCTGTCTGGTGGTGGGTTTTTGCCACCAGGCACCGAGAGAAGACATGGTGTCTGTTTCTGAAAGGACGGAATCTGCCAGCACAAAACGTTCTGAGTGAACTTCAAGCTGACCAGAGTGATTCTTTTGGCCAGGGAGCTTTCCTGACGGTACTTGTTAGTTCCATGAAGTCCATCTCGAGCTGTCACTTTTTTCTTTGGAGGAACAGGGGCAGACTGTGGACCACTCTGACCCGCAGACAAGCAACAAAAGGACAAGTAGCTGGATGTGAAACCGAAAGATGGAGACTAAATTTACCTACTATCTCAGTTTGAAACTCGAGTAGCCATACTCCGTTGACGGATTCAATGGATTGAGCAAGCACTGAGTAAGTTAAGTTGTTGTTCCGCGGAGCTTCGATGACGGCAGGAATTGATCTGCCATCCGCCGCTCTCTTCCGCTTTTCCCCCCCTCTCTTCTCCACTTCCTTCCCCCCCTCCCTCCCTCTCTTCATTATTCTTATTGTTGTTCGACCATTTTGAATCTTCTTTATTGTCGCTGACACATATGTTTAAGCATCAGCCTAGCCCAAATTAATCAATAATGCCTCTTTTCCCAATGGGTATCACGCCAACGACGCCCAAGATGGAGGCAAATACTGCCTCCTCAGCCGTGCTCACCTCCCCGGCCACCCGGATTAAGAACCGTCGCAAGCGTTACCTGGACATGCACCCAGAGTACTTTTCTGCTGATCTCGAGCTAGCTGGTCCGCTTGTCGCTCATCTTTGTTCTACGTTTCTGACTTGACTGGCACCCTGCCAGACTTGGTCGTCACGAAAAAACCTACATAGTGATTGTCAAGCTAACACCCCCAGCAACCGCACAGACCCCTTGCTCTATGACCGTTTGATCCGCCGTTTTCAGACTCCCGCAGAACGAGAAGCCGAAGGACGCGCCAAAGGGTTTTCTGGTGTCCTCCAGGCGGACCTCTGCCGTTCCGAAGCGAAATTCGAGGCGTTGAACCACCCGGACCCCCACGCCATGTTCAGCTACACCCGGGGTCCGAACGGGGAGATCCTCGCCGAAGACCGAGATGAGATCCCGCCCAGCAAGGAGGAAGGCGAGAAGCTGTGGCAGTGGGAGATGACCATGCGGTTCCTTCGGGGCGAGGATACGGATTTCGACTACGCCACCGTCGATCACAATGATGAATATGACGATTGGAACGAGGCGCAGGAACAGTACTTTGACGATGAGGAGCCGGAATGGATTGTCGAGGGCGAGGACGAGGGCGAAGGCAGTGGGGATGTCAGGTCTCGGCTTCAAGGTGAGACGGGCATTCAGGACTTCTGAATCCGGTGTGGCTTGATTATCTGTTCTGCGGGGATATGGATACGCCGCGGTTCGGGGCATTCTCGGCTCGTCCCGAGTGTTTACTCGTACTTTGACCTACGTTCTTGTCGTGCTTTCAGCCACAGCCTCGGCCTTCCGTTAGCGACGACTTGCTCTTTGCAGCGCTTTTTGTGACTGGACTTACGTTCTTGCAAACTGCAGTTTCAACGCAAGTTGGCATACTGGCGATTGATGTTCGTCAATACGACTTTTGCGAGGCCTGTCAAGACCGATTGGGAGGAACAGCCTAAGCATGCGTCACTGAATACCAGACCACCACGTCATGGCTGTGGATGAATCTTCCTCGGCCGGCAGACGACCGAGACCAGTCCGCAAGAAGGGGGTAGAAGGGATTAGGGCGGGGGATCTCTTCCACGGCTCGCTAAGAACAGGCTTTGCGGAGGGGTGATTGTCGCCCCTCCCCCGTGCTTGTTGCACTAGGGCTTGGATCTCTTTTCCGCAGCAGTCGAGTGATCTGACGTAGTGAGCCACTTCCCCTCTCAGCCGCTGGTCAGGCTGATGGCGGACCGTGGGTAATCGGAGCACATGGTACGCAGCTTTCCAACGGGAAAACTGGGAAACTACCACACAGCATACTGTGCCGAGCCACTATCTGGTGAATAGTTATCAAGTATACAGCTTAGTGAATGTATGTATAGGTACTTGAATGGATGCTAAAAACAGACAATGTGAAGATGGGAATGGAGAGGCAGCTTGTACTCGATCATCTGCTATTCTCTCTCATGTAGTTTGTGAGACATGTCTAAAGCATCCTATTCCCGGATCATGACATCCATACCTGTCACCTCCATCATTATCCCAAATTGTATTCCTCTCGCCAGCTGGACGCAGAGTCTTCTACCCTCAGCCCCTCAGCCCCTCAGCCCCTCAGCACCTGCCCATGGATTCCAATTCCAGAATTACATCTTCACGATGCCGCTCAGCGCAGTTTTCAGCCGAGCCCACGGTTAGCCAGCCCGGATAGCCCTCATCCCAGCGGTCAAGTCCACAACCCTTAGAAGTAGGTCTTGCTTGAGCAATTCAGCAATTCAGCAATTCAGCAATTCAGCAATAATGCTGTCATACCCCAGATGACTTCTGCTCGAGGGAAGGAAAACTTATCCGTGCCTACCTCGTCTCTTCATCCATCTCCATCTTTTCTCTGCTTCCCCAGATTTGCTGGTTTGTGCACTCAGCAATAATATCTTGCCTGGCAAAAGCACCATTCCTCACTGCGTGAATAGGAACATCTCAGCTATTCACACCTTTACATATTGGCATACGCCTATTCTTACCTGTCAGTGACATTCATCTAATCTGTCATTGATCTCATCATCATTCATCCTTTCCCCTCCTTCTCCTCGCCTGTCACCCTTTTGTCTTGTCTAGCAGTCTCTCTATACTGCAAGGCATCTGACTTCTGCAGCTCGAAGCGCAGAAGGTTTTCTTGCCTATTGTATCGAACAATAGGCTGTCGATACATCAGACGGGGCTTTGAGCATCGTCCCCATTAGCGTCGACATTATCATCGTCATCGTCATCGTCAACGTCGCCGTCACCATCACCATCACCATCACCACCACATAGCCCACCAGCCCTAATACGAGTAGCAGCTGCTCTCGAGATGAGTTCAACAACTGACCTCCCCATCCGTCTGCACTCGGACCGAGTGTCCATCTCAAGCATGGACCGCTCGCTCATAGAAATCATCGCCACCACCTCCATCCCCATCTCCACCCTCCTCGGCACCACCAGCACCTCCTCCACCACCTCCTCCTCCATATCCTCCTCTTCCTCCACCACCACCACCACCACCAAAACACCCGATTTCCTAACCTTCCGACCCCTGACCCCACTCCCCACCGAAAACCCCCGGCAATACCTCGTCCTCCTCCCCAGAGGCAACCTAGGCGCCGGCGCCTGCGGCACCGTGCAAGCGGTCTGCAGCTTCGACCTGAGCGATCCCACCCACGAAACGATTAAGCTGTACGCCATCAAGACGTGCACGCGGCAGCGGGATGCCGAAATCTTCCTGCGCAACGAGGTGAAGCTGGCCGTGCAGCTGCCTCCGCACCCGCACGTGCTCCAGATCTTCGCCCTAGGCGAGATCATCCCCAGTGCCGCCAGCACCAATACCAGCACCAGCACCCCCACCCCCCAATCCACCCAACTAGCCTACCTAATGGACCACTGCCCGCATGGCGACATCTACGACCTGCTGTTCCCCCCCGGCGCCACTAAGCCCATCCGCCTCCCGCAACCCACGCAACTGTGCTTCATCAAGCAGCTTTTTCTGGGGGTCGCCCACCTGCACCGCCAGGGCATCGCCCACGGCGACCTCAAACCGGAGAACCTGCTGCTCGATGCCGACGGGCTCGTCAAGCTCGCCGACTTCGGGTACGCGGTGCGCTTCCGGCCGCCGCATCACCACCGCCACCACCAGGGAGAGGGCGAATGCGCCTGCGTCCGCGCCCACGTCCCCGTCCGGACCCCCGACGACGTGCGCGGGACGGGATGCTACATCGCGCCGGAGATGTGGATGGCCGCTGCGGCGGCGGATGTAGCCGTCAAGGCAGCAGCAGCAGCAGCAGCAGCAGCCGCAGCCAGAAAACCAGCCGCCGCCGCCGCCAGAACAGCAGCCACAAGAACAGCAGCAGCAGCAGTAGCAGCAACCTACGACCCGCGGGCCGCCGACATCTGGGCCTGCGCGCTGACGGCCCGCCACATTCTGGGGCTGGGGTATCCGTGGGAATGCGCCGGCGAGTCCGTCGACGACGGCTTCGCGCGGTTTGTGGACGGGTGGGAGGCGTTCGAGGCGGTCACGGCCGGGGACCCGCGGCTCGACGCCGCGGCGGGGAGATGGCCGCTGTGCGGCCGGGGGTTCAAGGCCAAGGAGTACCCGGACTACGCGGCGCTGGTGCTGGTGCTGGGGATGCTGCATCCCGATCCCGAGCGGCGGCTGACGATCGAGGCGGTCCTCCGGGATCCCTGGGTGCGGGGGATTCCGTGCTGCTCGCCGGCGGTGTCGGCGCAGAGCCGCGCGGTGCATGATCACTGTCGGATGAAGGTGGATTCTGGCGTGTCGTGCACGCGATAGAGGGGGGAAGGATGAAGCTTCTGGTTTGGATGAGCGAGGTTCGCGATGAGGGAATAATCCATGCTTTTTTTTTTTTTTTTTTTTTTTTTTGGCAGGTTGGGGTTCTGGACATCATCTGTGGAAAAGAACAAGTCGTTGGTGGATGAACTGGCGATTGTTCGATATGCAGGGCCCAACGCCGGTATCTTGGGCGTTGGAAGTTGTTTGGATATTTGCAAGATCTGCAACAAGGCCGTCCGTTTGCTTGGGCATGGACTGGCGTATTTTACTGTACTGTACGCTCGAGACGAGAGTGTCTTTTGTTCGATGCATGTTGAGCGTCTTCGTCGCATAGCGATTATACCCTCTGGAGTGGAAATGCCAACAGAGTCTATTTGCTATTTGTCTGTGAGAATGAACTATCTCCTAATGCAGCGCTTGCTCATGTGGGCCAATGATGAGCAGTAATGATAATGACGCACCCTCGAATCGTAGCGTTCATTGCCTTCCCACAAACCATCCGTTTGTTCATCATAGCGTAGAATGTTTTACATCTATGTACATTTCCAATCCATCTCAATCCAACAGACCCCATGGTTAAATCCAACGGCTTTCTTCATGTAATATAGATGTCCAAATAGCCAAGCCAGTGCATCATGCGAGCTGGTTCTCCTTCTCCTTCAATCTCTTGACTGCAATCTCGCGAAGCATGAATTTCTGAACCTTGCCACTCGCAGTTTTCGGAAAAGACTCCGAGGAGGGCAGGAAAAACACATATTTCGGGACTGTTTCAGCTGTTAGCTATTATCTCGAACCTGAAAGACCCGTGGAAAGTACACACCAAGGTGATTGCTCAGTGTCTCGTTGACATATTTTTTGACCTTTTCCTCTTTAGCATCCTCGCCGTCGACGTCGCGGTGTATGATAAATGCAGCCACCGCCTCACCGTATCGTTCGTCCGGGACCCCAACGACCGACACATTCAAGACTCCGGGGTAGGCAAGAAGACAGTTTTCTACCTCCAGGGGATGGATATTCTCGCCACCGCGTATAATAAGATCTTTGACCCGACCGGTGATTGTGATGTAGCCGTCTGGGCAGATGGTTGCCTCATCACCAGTCTAGGTAGTCATCATTAGTGGAATCGATCATCGAGGCCAGGAACCAGAAACGCAATGACATACGTGCATCCAGACTTTCCCATTCTCGTCGGGAATCATCACCTCGGCTGTTTTTTCCGGGTCGTTCCAGTATTCTTTCATCAGGAGGTAGCCGCTGACTGCCAGCTCTCCGCGGACACCGACGGGAACAACCTTGCGGTGGTCGGCCAGGTCAACCACTTTGGCTTCCACGTGGGGTAGAAGGGTGCCGACGGTGTGGATACGCTTGTCGATCGGGTCATCGGTTGTAGTCATGGCGGAGACTGGGCTGGTCTCGGTCATGCCGTAGCAGATGGTGAGTTCGGTGAGGTTGAGGACTTTATGAAGCTTCTTCATCAACTCCGCTGGAATGCTGCTTCCGGCTGCAATGCCAGTCCGGAGGTACTGAAAGCCCTCGGGTGAGACCTCGCCACTCTCGAGCAGATTGAGCTCCTCAAGGAACATGGTGGGCACTCCGTACAGGGCTGTGCACCGTTCTTCTTGCACTGCTTTGAGGGCGGCTTTGGCGTTGAAGGACTCTGTCGGGAACACAATGGCAGAACCATGGGTCCCCGTTGCCATGTACCCCAAAACAGAGCCGAAGCAGTGAAAGAGAGGTGGGGGACAGCAGACAATATCCTCGGGGGTGAGGCGCATGCGGTCTCCGATCTGAGAACCATTGTTCAGAATTGAGCGGTGCGTCAGACATGCAGCCTTGGGCATAGCCGTTGTCCCGGATGTGAATTGGATGTTTATAATGTCATCAGGGGAGAGGTCCTGTGGTGGTAGAGAGCTCCCATCAAACGCAGCATCGGATGTTAGTGAGGAATATGGCGTAAGTACCCGGTAGCCGGTGCCTTGGAAGCGACCAGAAGAGTTGTCGACAAGAATGATATTCTTCAGTGATGGGATGAGTTCTGACTTTAGTCTAAGGCTTGCAAGGTCCGGCACGATAGTCTCCAGAAGTGGCACATTGCTCCGTGGAGGCTTCCGGGGCAGGTTCGACTCCGCACTGACGACCAAATGGCTGGTATTGAGGTGACTTAGGGCCGATGCTAGTTGAGTAGTGTTGAATGATGGATTGATGGGCACCTGAACGAATGTTACGTTTCATTCCCCGGTAGGATAGCACCAGACTCACCAAAATTGCTCCTAGTTTGAACAGTGCATAAGTTACCTATAGACACCTCGTAAGCTGCTGTTGGCTACTCGCTTCGATTGGGTATGTTGTTGAAGGCTGTTTGCATACGATGGCATATTCCATGGAGTTTCCCAGCATGACCCCAACTCGGTCACCTCGGCGTACCCCGATGGATTCCAGGCCCCTTGCAAACGCATTGCTTTTGGCGTCCAGAGCGGCATATGTTAATCTTTCGTTTTGATGCTTGGAAATGACGCTGGTTTCACAATCGGTTAGCGGGGAATCAGCTGTGGCGGGCCTGCAGATAAGATAAATATACTATCTACATACGCTGTCCGATCGCCATGTACCTTGACAATCTGGGCGAAATGGTCGCCAACCGTCGAATCAAACAAGGGAGGCTTCAGATCGGAGGGATTGAGTGTCAGCTTCTGAGAGTGGACGCTTTGGGCGAGGTGCAGCAGCTTACCTCGGACGGCCCTCGGGCATAGCTCTGAGTAAGAAGTCCGCGCCGCCAAGCTATCGACGACTGGAGGGTTCTTGGCAGGCAGTGTGACCTCCAAGGGTGACAGCGGACAAATGAATTGAAGCGATACATTGCCAGTACTTTGGGTCGGATGAGAGCTACATCAAGTCTGTCCTCGGTGGAAGACGTCAATGTACTGTACCGCACCTCACCCCTTGCTTTGAGGCGGCAGTAGGAGTGGCAGTGGTATGGAGGTATGGATCAAGTATAGGTTGTTGGTCAAGGTTTGGTGTAAGGTAATGTTTCTCTCGCACTCAGAGAGTACATGAAGCGAAGTCAATGAGAAGAAGAAGAGAGTACAAGACGGTTGCAGAAGACGAGGTGGTTTGAGGTCATTCACTCTCTTTCCCCTCACGTGTTGTGGAGAGCAAATGCGGGGTTGTGCCTGCCTTCCCAATTGGGATCGACCATCGATTTAGGTAGTAGCTGGAAGCTTACTAACGTCTAGAACCAACATCTTATATAACTAGTTTTCCCCTCATCTAACAGCTTCATCATTCTCTCACTTTCTCACTCAGTCACCCAACTCCATCACTTCCGCTGTTCCAACCACCATCGGTCCCGCATCGTCATCATCCCCATCACTATCGTCTCCTGGAACATAGTTCTTGTCCTTGTGGTCATCCTTCTCCGGGTGATCACCATCTCCGTCATTGTTTTTTGATGGATCCTGGTGTACGACCACGTTCGATGATGGATCTGGACACAGCACCTCTTCTTCTCCTCCGCCTCCCTCAAGATTCTCACTATCATCACCTGCGTTTCCTTCTTCGGCCAGTGTTTCTTCAGCAACGTCCTTTCCTTCTTCGCCTCCTATTTCCTTGAGGGGAATTCTCATCACGTTCTTCTCTGTCTTTCTTGCTCTCCCCGTCAGCGGTCGTGCTTCCTCTCGAGTGGTCGGCGGCGGCTGTTTTGCGGAATAGCACTTTGGCGACCCGCAGCGGCATTGCCTCTTTTTCCAATAGCTAGGCCCATAGTCGACGGTGATCTCTTCGTACATTTCAATATCCCGCGTGGCCTCGAGCGTCATGGCGGCGTGGTCGCTAAAGGTCCGGCAGCGGTACTCGGTTGAGGCGTTCTCGCAGGCGTGATTGACGAACCGGGTCCAGTTGCCCTCGTAGCATGCGTCGACGGACACCTTCCCTTGGGTGCGTTGGTCACTCGGCGCCTCCCACGCTAGAGCATAGGTCTGGTCCGGCCTGCTGCCGTCTGGGATGAGCCGCCCGACATACTCACCCAGAACGTCTCCCTTGCGGAAGGGCCACAGGGCGCGCACCCCGATGCCCCGGTCCTCCGTCTTGACGAGCTCCACCAGCTCCCCGGGCATCGACTGCACCTGGCACCGGCAGGCATGCGGCGATTCGCAGAAGTCACAACACCCCAGATCGTAGACATGTGCCCAGCGCATGGTGACATTAATGTCGGGTTTCGGGTCGACTTGATGCTTCCAGTCTGCAGGGTTCCAGATGTTCTTGGTGATGTTGACCTGACGGCAGTTGTTGTAATTCGGGGTGATGACATGGTCTTCGCCTTGGGGCGGGATCGCAAGCTCGTGCGGGTGGCGGTCCCAGAACTTCTTGACGAGCTTCAGCGCCGGGCTCATGTAGCGGATGGAGTCGTTGGAGTACGGGAGCAGCAGGCCACGCCAGTCGATGTTGCGCACGCGGCCGTAGAACTCCAGGCTGTTTCTGTTGGCCTTGAGGGCCTCAAGTACCTCGCGCCGCAGCTGGCTGTCGACCTCTTGGTCTAAGGAGAGGATGCGCCGAAAGGCTTCCGAGTGAGCAGCGATCGCGAGCCCTTCCCAACCGATGCGCTGCAGCAGGTCATCGACTTCGTCCGAGAGCTCCAAGCCTTCCTGAGTCTGGTACGAATCATCCAGCCCCTCGACCAGGTTCACCATCTTGCTGATGAAGTTCGTTGCCTTCTTGCACTCATGCCAGTAGCGCTTGCGGTCGGTGGTCATTTTCCTGCCCTCCCGCACGTTAATGCGCACCTTGCCGATACGGTTGAGGTCATAGTAGATGTTTCCGAGCGCCTTTGCTTTCAGAGTCGCAACCGACTTTGGTGACAAAGGAGCAGGAGGGAGGGATTTCTCTTTCGATTTTGCTTTAGGAGCGGCAACAGACCCCGGCGGCTGTGGGTCACGAGTGGGAGGAGTCGCTTTCGCTACTGCTAGAAGAGTTCCAAGAGACTCTGCCACCAGTTGATCACGAGAGCGAGGTTTTGCTTCTGCTCTTGCTCTCAGACGAGCAATAGACTCTGGCGACAACGGACCGCCGGGAAGGGGATATGATTTCGCTTGTGCCAGAGCCTGCGACAGTGGAACATGAGTGCGGGGAGCCGTAATTGCTGCTCTCACAAAACTTGCAAAAGATTCTCCCGCTGTTGGTTGGCGCGCCGGGGGATTCCGTTTCACGTTTGGTTTAGGAGCAGCAGGCTTTTGTGATGGTGTATTTTGAGCCTGGGGGTTCTTGCTTGCTGCTGTTTCAGGAGCAGCAGCAGGCTTTGGTGGTGGTGGATTGTAAACGGGGGATTTCGCTCTTGCTTCTGCTTCAGGAGCAGCAACAGTCTTTGGCGACGGTGAACGACGAGCAGGGGATTTCGTGCTTGCTTCTGCTTCCGAAGCGGCAACAGCTGGTGACGGTGGCTCAGAAGCCGGGGAGTTCATACTTGCTCTCGCTTTAATCGCGGCAACGAATTCCGGCGACAGGGAATCACGAGGGAAGGGCCGTGCCCGAGACTGGGGCTTCTCCCGGGACTTTTTCGGTGGTGACTTCGTTACTCTATTCTGGGAGGGCGAGGGGCTCTTTTTGGGTTGCGAGGAGCCAAGCCCCATATCTGCTTTGGTTGGAAAGCACATCGTACGTGCTGGTGTAGGATAAACGCAAGTTGGTTTGGGGATCAATCAGTAAGTTGCAGCCCTGGATTTTGATTCTTCTTGTTTAGACTTCAGAAAACTGCCGATATGTTTCTCCTTGAGGAAGAGGACCGTTACCGTGCGGGCTTTATGTACATCGTTCGATCTGCTGCCACTTCTGCCACTTCCTACCTGGATATGAATCTATAATTATATTGCTTTAGTTCGCTGATGAAAGACCTCCCAGGCGTCGAATGGGCAGCCTCCGACCTTTGTGGATGACATTATTTTTGGCTGTGGCATCATTGTCCACTTGCAGATGAAAGGGTTGTTGGGCCATGCTTTGTATTCTTTCGGGGTGTTGAAAGGAAATCAAAGGGAACGGCTTTTGCCTCGTCTGAAACAGCCGAACAAAGCCTTTCGGGACAAGAATCCATTCGAGGTGAAACGTCACAAAGGAGGAGGAGGATAGACATGGTGATGTTAGGTGGTGATTGTGTTGTGTTTGATGGTTAGTGTATGCTGGTAGAAGAGTGGCTGCTTGCTGGGGTGGAACGCATCGATATTGCCGTTTGTAGTAGTCAGCGAAGACCGCGGCGGGCGCCGCAGCAGGGTTCGGGAAGGGGCCATGAAGAGGCAAATAGGCGTGAAGGTATACAAACTATCCACACAATTGACAAACCAACTCTCTGTTTTTGCATATACAATTACTGCAGCCACACTGCCCTTCCACATAATGAAATTAAGAATGTACAACCCCATCCCCATCCCCTACCCACCAGCATGGAATCCCTAAACCAACCGCGTAAACCCCTCCCCATTCTCAGGCGGCTGCAACCAATTGCGCTCATCATACACCCACCCGTCGGCCCCCTCGATGACATGAAACGTATACGCGAAGCGACTCCGGGGGCTCGTATTCCTCGAGCTCTGATGCAGGACATTGCCATGAATGAGCACCAACGAGCCGGCCTTGATATCCAACAACTGCACCTCGCCCTCCTTTTGCGCGGCATCCTCAACCAACCCCTTCGGCACCCGGGCGCCGGTGTTCTCCACGAACTCCGTGCCGCGACTGCCATCGGGCACGCGGCGCACGAACCGGCGCTGGATGCCGTTCCGGCGGTGCGAGCCGGGCACCATGCCGAGCGTGCCGTTCTCGACGGAGGCGTCCTGCAGCGCGAACCACCAGCCGACGGCGGAGGGCGGGTCCGTGTACAGGAACTCCGAGTCCTGATGGCTGGGCACGGCGCCGCCGATGCTGGGCTGCTTGCAGATGACCATGCTCTGCAGGACGCGGGGGTCCTGGAAGCCGAGGGAGCGGGCGATGGCGGCGTTGCGCGGGGTCAGGCTGACCTCCCGGAAGGGATCGGACAGGCTGTGCAGGGAGTGGCCGATCTTGTTGACGGCCTGCTGCTTGGGTTTCAGGAGCGTGCCCGGTGTGTCCGGGTGGAAGGCGTCCGGCTCGAAGAAGAACCGGATCTTGTCGCCCGAGGTGAGGAAGTAGTCGTCGCCAACGTGCTCCTTTTGGGCATCGTCGTCGTCGCCAGTGGTGAACTGGGTGAGCGGGTGGGTGTCGAGCGGGAAGGTGTCGAGGAGGTGGTTGGTCTCCGTGAGGCAGCGCTGGACCTCGGCCGGGGTGAGGTGGTCGGGTAGGACGAGGTAGCCGTTCTCGTGGAAGAAGGCGAGTTGCTCCGGGGTGAGGCCTTCAGCAGTCATATTGGGGTTTTGCAGAGGGTCGGCGCAAGAGGGGGGTGTAGGATGGAGGTTTGGAGGAGATGGGAACAGAAAAAGAGGGGGAGGGGATTGTGGGGGAGGAGGAAATATGCTATAGGGCAGGTTTTATAGGCGGCGCTTATCAGCTTATCTACATTGCCTGACAGCTGCAGCTGTAGGGTATAAAGAAGATAAAAAGATTCTGTTCTTAAAACTAAGCTTGAAATTCTTACTACAGCAATAGTCAGCTTAAGACTTGCCATATCTAGTTAAGTAAAGCATAATAAGAAGAATAATCTAAAGCTCTCAGCTCAAGTCTGTTTGTCTACTCGTTACAAACACAACGCAAACACAAAGCTGCATTAACCGCCTACAAAGGACACAATTCTGCAGGCAGATTCTGGATCTTAGCTTGAAAAGAGCAGGCGGTAAGTAGCGAGCAGCTAACAGACTGCTGAGTCATCTCTCCGCCCCAGCTCGGCCCCATACCCCGGAAATCACTAACTGTATTAGGAACAAGTACCTCAGCCCGGCCGGGCCTTAGCTATAGCCGATGATAGACTGTTGATATAAATCCCCACAACAGTTCACAACTCACAAGCAGACTTAGCAGGCAAAAGCGAGACTAGTCCAGCTACTTGGGAGCAATTTAGCAGGTGGGGCAGATAGCTCTGAGACTCACTGGGGCAATCTTACTTTCAACCAATAGCGCCTCAAGTCCTCTATACAGTCAGAAGCAGAGTTTTGATATAGTGAATATACTACTATCAGTTACCACTGGCCCTTATTATATCAGAAGATCTATCTTTACATCCAGTAGACTGCCTATTATTGTAATAAACCAGATTCCAAATATTTAACGACTTCTTATCTTTTACTTTCTGTTCTGTTCTTTTCTTTCTTCCACCATCCACCATCCACCATCCTGCCTCCTCAGCATCACATATCTTCAATCCATCAACTCTTCCTACCTGCTCATCACCTTCAAGGTAAGTAAGTATCTCTAACATCTTCTGCACCACTATCTCTTTCATACCCATCAACTAAGTTCCCCTCTTGTTCTGCTCTTCAGCAGAAATCCCAACAGCTTTAGAGCCGAGTGTACAGTACTTAACTACATGTCCATCAGCTTTAAAAAGGTAAGTATCTCTTTAGAGTTCTGCATCACCATCTCTATCAAATCCATCAACTAAGCTTCCCTCTTTCTCTGACCTTCAGCAAGAAACCCCCAGAAGCTTTAGAGCCGAGTTCACTTGACCACCATGTCTCAGAACCAGTCTCAGGACCAGTCTCAGGGCCAGCTAGCCATGCTGCGTAGACTGCACGGCTTTCGCTACGCACTGCGTTCCTCTGGACCTATCGCTGGAGCTGGTGCTGGAGCTGGAGTTACACCGCCTGGTCTTCCGCACGACTCGGCGCCTGCTATCAACATGACCCCCCACACCACCACCACATCAGAAGACGACAGCAACAATTCCACCGACACCGACGACGACACCGACACCGACGACGAAGACTACGAAGACTCATCCTCATCCTCATCCTCATCCTCAGAAGAAGAAGAAGAAGAAGAAGAAGAAGAAGAAGAAGAAGACACCACCCCACCAAACCCCCTCCCCACCCCACCCATAACACCCCCTCCCCCTCCACCCCCCAACCCTAATCCCCAACCGCAACCGCAACCCCACCCCCAAAACCATATAAGATGCGCCTACACCCGCACCTGCACCACCACAACCCCAGGGCACCCGCAGCACTACCGCAAACTAATCTCGCACATCTTCGGGCGCAACAAGCACTCGACCAAGCAGATCCCCGCCGCGCTCTGGTGCTGCTACTACTGCCGCAAGCACTACCAACGCGCCCGCTACCGGGAGCGCGACACCTGGGCACTGACGCAGTGCTTCTGGGTGGGGCAGATGCTGCTGCGGCTGCAACAGCTGCCGGATATTGTGGGGTTCCGGGTGCAGCTCCGACTCCGCCAGCAGCAGCAGCAGCAGCAGCAGCAGCAGCAGCAGCAGCATTCCCAAACGGGGGATAAGCCGGTGGTGCCCGGGTGGTTGGTCGAGCGGATTGTATCCAGAAACAACGAAGTGTGGTCGTTTGAGGAGACGCAGGAGCTGGTGAGCAGGGAGATTCGGGGGTGGTTGTTGGAGTTAAGGGCCAGGAATGTGGCGGCGGGGGAGTTTCCGGATGTTGAGATTTTGCCGGTGTGGAGGTGATTGGTCTTTGTCTTGGGGATTGGCAGGGGATTCAACGATTTGATTCAATAAACAAGAGTGGTGCTTTGTCGGCTTATGTCGTGAGCTTTGGATGTCCTCGATGTACACTCGATCATAATGTCTCGTTTAGCAAGGTGGCTCGTTGCGGGTATCTGCATGCTTAGCATTCAACGACTAGCGACTAGCAGCCAAACAGAGATCGCGGCGTAAGCTGCAATGTTTCAAACTATCATCCTGCTCGTAAACCTCAAGTCATTTCGAATTAGCCACAGATCCAAGACCTTAAGATACTGACCTGGCTGGAGTATTAACATGTATATTATCTAACCGCATTATCACTACCACTGATACTAGGTACCTATAAACCAGATGCAACATCCGGCAAAACAGACCTTACACAACAAACCCGCAAACCGAACAGAGAATACAACGGAAAGAACCACATATTCATAGTCAATCATCCACCAACGCCATATAAATAAACCCCGCGGGAGTCAAGTCATTATCGTATCGTATCATAAAATCACTTCGCATTAGACCCCCAACAAGCTCCCCACCTCGCCTCCCCACATTCAACCCTCATTATCCGGTATCAACTCATACCCACCCTCCGACGGCAACGTATACGCCGCCAGGATCAACGCCGCCGCGCAGAAGAGACTCACGCACCAGCTGACGGTGCAGAAAACCCAGGAGTCGGAAAGAACCCAACCCGGAAAGAAGCGTTTCTCGTTGTCGAACAGGTACGCCTGTCCATGGGAAACGGTTCGGTTAGCACCATCCCGCCTAAGCACCCACTCACCCCAGAAAGGAGAAAGAACTCACCACAATCCCCATACTCGCCGCCTGCACCACCACGGACAACAAGATGAACAAACTTAAAACTTTCCACCCGGACTCGCGCAGCCGCTTCCCGCCGGACAAGATGATCAGGAACGCGACCAGGCTCATGCCCTCCAACACCACGGCGAACGACATCAGGAACCCGACGGAGCGCCACATCGAACAGAAGTACCGGTCCTCGCCGTGGCAGTCCTCGCGCTGTGGGAAGCCCCAGCAGGCGCCCTCGACGGAGGAGCAGCGGCGGTGGAGGCCGTAGGAGTAGTGGAAGGTGGGCTGGATACCGTCCTTCCGTTAGCCTGATCCCTTTACTCGATATGTTCGCCGAAAGAATGATGATATGCGCCCAGCGAAACCCTCACAGTCCTTGAGACAAAATGGAAGTGGCAAAACGCACCGAATCATAGCTAACCCATCTCGGAACGGCGATCGAGGAGATGGTTAATCCGAAGGCTGTAGATGTTGAGCCAGATTAGTCTCGGACTGCGATGTGCGTGAACCAAAACAGAAATCGTAGAGGGGAGAAACGTACAAGCTAAGAATAATATCAAGGAACCGGTGTAGACGATTGTTTTGGTAAGGAACCCGGTATAGTTGCGATCTTCCCCGCGAGGCACTAGACGGAAATCCATCCTGGCGCCGAGGGGATTTTTAGATTGTAGTTATCGAAGCAGTTCTAACGAATGGCGGAGATTGCAAACGCAGAGGGATTGTTGCTTGGTGCTGGTCGGTGCTGGTCGGGCGTGTTCTACTGAATGGGTTGCAATGATACGATGATGACGACACACGCTGCGAATCGATAAGACGACGGGAGTGGCAGCGAGAAACAGCACCGCAACGCAAAGGAGGAACAATAAGCCACACGGGGATAAGAGAGAGTTTTTCAAGTACAGTAAGAGAGGGGAAGAAGAGGAATGCGAGGAGAATTCAGAGTCAGTCAAAAGGACAGCGGGGTTGTGTTGGTTGCGAGAAATGGAAGGAGGTGGTTGTGGAAAGATGGGATGGGATGGGATGAGCTGATCAGGAAAGGCCAGGTCAGGTGAGGCTGGCTCTCTCTCTTAATCAACTAATTCTATTCAATTCAATTGAATGCAACTCAATTCCCTCCACCACCACACAACACCAAACGCGGAAATTATTCTGAAGCAGACGGTAAAAAAGAAGAGCATGACAATTCAAATATCCTCCACCCCCTTAACCTCTATCAAGCTCAATTCCAGCAAACCGCATGCCAGCCCAGGAAGGGAAAAAAAAATACCTCATCATCCGCCGTCCGGAAACAGACCGAGTGGTGTATGACATGATGTTTCCCTTTTCCTTCCCCTACAGACAGGACAGTCTATGATCAACCATCATCATGAACTCCATCCAGTACAGTACAACCATGATTTTACTCCCAGATGATCAATCCATAAAAACGTATTCGGAAGCATGAAGTTTGTTCCTCGAACAATGAGCCCAAGCTTGAACTAATCTTATAGTTGCAACATTCCACCACCACCACCACCACCACCCCCCACCGCCTCAAGGTGGAACTTCTCCCCCCGCCTACAACGGTCCAAGCGTCCACCACCAGAACTGAACTGCAAAGGCGGGGGGGGGGGGGGGACTGTACTCCGTACACTGTAACTATATGTACAGTACAGGACCAGCAACCCAGCTTCAAGTTTCTTCCAGGCTGTTCCTCTCGCCCCTCACCAACCCACCAACCCAAACTCATTTGTTCCAGGGTTCGGAGCAGCAAGCAGCAAGGGGGAGAAGAAGCTCAGATGACAGAGCTTGTTGACGCGCCATCCTTGGAATTCTTCATCCCCCCATCCCCCATCCCGCTCTGCTCTGCTCTGCTCTGCTCGACTTCCCTCCCCTCCTCTCTCCTCTTCATCCAAGCAATAAGAAAAATACTCCGTATACATGCAACCTACCTGGCTTAGGTAGTCCCTCGTTGGTGGGTATCTTTCCGTAACGTCGATTTTCATATCGATCCAGTCCCCTGTAAGATTCCGAGTCAACAGGATATTCGACGCAGATAAGCTGCAAGGATCCGAATTAAGCAAGCCGATATGTTCCCTCCAAGTTCTTCCCCCGACCGGCGCATTCGCACAGTTGCGTTCGGGTAGCGCACGGTGACACGCATGTAACCATGTCACTATCCTTGACCTGATACATGCCGGACTATAAATCGGAGATTCATCCTGCACCTGACATCCTACAAATCTACAAATCTACAAGGAAAACGAAACTATCCCATCAAATCACGTGGGAGGGTGTCCATCTCCATCCACTGGACTCGTGCTCGTCATTCCATCGCCTATGTCACGGTGAAGGAGAAAAAAAAAAGTATGGCCTTCTGGCCCGAAGACAGAAAGAACCCACGGTATCGAGAAGAGAGAAGAAAAATCAGAAAGAAGAATCATAAGGAAGATACAGAATAATCTACATCCGACATGAGGCTGGGGGATTCCATGACCGAAGCGAAGTCCATGATAATACACGGCCAACCAGCAAGAATATTAAAATGTGAAAGAAAAACAGCGTCAGCACCGCGTTGGTGACAAGTTATGGTAGAAAGACACATCAAAGGTGGGAATGTAGAATGGAAGAGAGAGAAAAAAGAAATCCCAGGTCATCAGCAAGCGGAGAGAGAGAGAGAGGTAACGCCAAACCCGCCAATGCAATCCAGTGCGTCGAACGCTTTCATCCCGCTCGACTCTGCTGGATCATCGCACGAAAGTCATCATTGCTCTTTTTCATCTTTTGTCCGTCGTCCGGGGCGGAGCTGTCTGTGTTGTTCGTCATCGTCGTCGTCGTCATCGTGGTGTTGGTCGTGGGCGCGCCATTCTGCGCGTGGCTCTGCCCCTGCAACCCACCGGTGGCTCGCTTCACACCCAGGTGACCGCGCTTGCCTCCGCGCGCCCCAGGCTGCGGTGGCCGTTTGATCGGTCCGGTCGGTTGGAGTCTTGCCCCCGACTTCTCAGTAGTCGCCTTGCTGCCGGTAGTTCCGGAGTGGCCTCTCTTCTCTGCCGACTGCTTCAGCATCTCCGGTACGCTTCCCACATGTAGCTTCCGGCCGGGAGCAATCTCCTGTCCTTCCAACTCCAGCGAGGCTCTGCCGGCAGCATGGATGTCAGCGAATTCGACGATCGCTCCTTGGTGATCTGGCCGAAGGATAATCTTAATTAGCCTGCCGTACGGCTCGACTAGCGCGCGAATCCGTGCGTCGTTGACCGTGTCGGGAACGTTCATCAAACCCAGAGTACGCGCAGCCCGATCACTACTGGAAACCTCCTCTCCGATTCCGTTGGCTTCAACCGATGGAGATCGCGAGGCGGACACGCGAGACAGAATCGTTGTGGCACTCCGTTTTGCTCCCTGTGGTGTGGATAACTTCACTTGCAAAGGCCGGGACCGGTACTCTTGTTCGTGCATTACCAAAGCCGCCTCAGCTTCCTCCTGCAAACATAATCAGCGGGATGCATTGATAGGCAGGATCATATAAGCGTACCTTAGAAGCGAAGACAATATAACAGAAACCTTTGCTGCCTCCGTCCACCTTCCGTGGAATGCGCACCTGTTCGACGGCGCCGAACCGCAAGAACAGCTCCTCCACGTCTTGTTCGCTGGCCTTCCAGTCCAGGTTGCTCACGTGAATCTCACGTCCTTCGTACATCGGACCATGACGGTCCTGTTTGCGAGTGGGATCGGAGATCTTAGCGACCAGGTGAAGGCCATTGCCGACTGTAGACCCGTCTAGTTGGGTGGCGCTGTAGGCTTCTCCAGACGTCTTGAATTGCACGTAACAGAATCGCCGATGCGTGTTGTACTTGAGAGACGGAAAGCGGATGTCAATGATTTCTCCGTGCTGTAGTAGGTTAGCAATGTAGGTTCCCTGACTACACACGGAAGGGGAAGTCACCTCACGGAACAATTCACGAATATACTGATCATCCGCAGTGGGAGGGAAATTGGTGACAAAGAGTGTAGACCCTGAGCCGAATTGGACCTCGATGGCTTGTCCATCGATCATCTTCTGATCGCGGGTCTGCGCGACGACGGCTTCATCTCGGTTGTTGAACTCAATGATGGCTGTCTCCGAGTTCCCGTTTGGAGCAGAAAACATTTTCAGGCTGTTGATCGCACCGCACTGCCCACAAGTTAGCTACGCGCTGCACAACTCTGCAGACGGGACGTGTACTTACATGGCGAAAGAACTGCCGGACTTTATGTTCCGTAATGCCACGAGGCAAATGCTTGACGACCACGGTCGCATTCTCGCGATCACGTTGAAGCGCAACAGGTTCAGGCGTCACGAGAATGGATGGGGTGGACTCTTCTGCACGGGCCCGTTTGGCAGGTACTGCCCCGTTCACGTTGACCTCGTCCTCCCGCTTCCTCTTTTCGACTTGTGTCGCCTGCTCGATGGCTGCGGCCTGTTGCTCGGCCTGCCGCGCGGCCGCCTCCCTTGCGTCCCGCTCGCGCCGGGCTGTGATTGCCCTCATCGCCTTGCGGGTTTCGAGGATCGCCAGCTGCAGCTCATCCGAGTCTTCGTAATCCTCGCAGTGAGCGATATAAACTTGCATGATCTTCTCCGGCCAATCCAGATCCGTCCGCTTGATGGCCTGCTTCAGAACAGCGGTGGCATAGCTGGGGTTGGGTGTCCGCCGGGCGGCGTCAATCGTGGCTTCTCCCTGCACAAACTTACTCCAGGAGATGAGCTCCCACTCGTAGTAAGTCAACCAGAACTCGTAGCTGTTACCACGCCGACCCACAAGACCCTTGAAAGTCTCTCGGGCACTATCCCAGCTGCCACTTTCGCTGAGATAGCGGATGTAGATCCGTTCCAGGCGGAACAAAGGGTCCCCTTGGTAGTTCCGCCCGTATTTCTTCTCGCCAAGCTCCTGGACGCTTTCAATAGCAGATCGGATTCCAACCTCCGCCACGTCGATATCTTCATCGGTCGAGTCAGACAGGAAGGCCTGTCGACGCAGATAGCTGCACCAGGCGGTATGCACTTTTAGTACTTCCTCCATGCCCCCAACATCTAGCAAACCGGTGCTGGTCGCCTTGTGCTTGATATCCGCGATCTTCGCGAAGGACTGTCCTTCGCGCTCGGAGCTCAGCAGATACTGCGACCAGAGGGTGCCGGAACCGGGACAGTGGCGAGTCGCACGGTCCAAGGTGGCCATCGTCGCAGTTTTGGTGTTGCCGTGCATCGACTCGTTAACAAGGTACATGATTAGATCCTCCCACATATGGCAATCGGTCGGGAATCGAAGCACCGCGCGTTGGTAAATCGACTTGACGAATTCGAAATTGCCCAGCTGCCGCTTGCGACGACTTTGTTTGAGCTCCCAGTCAAGATACTCCGTGAATAGGGCATATTCCTGTCCCAACTCGCCGGACTCGGTCGCATTGCGTAACTTGATTTCGAACTCCTCGCGGGCGGAGTATTGTTCCTTGGCGGCCGTGGCGTGTCTTCCGACTATGTCGGCCATGATGCTTTCGTAGTTCGCATTGTAGTAGTTTGAAACAAAGCCGGAGAACAGCTGGAAGGTCTGATCCCAGGTGGCGTGGGGCGTTGCAAGACGAACCTCAAAAAAGTTCCGCACGTGATTCACCTTCTCCTGGGTAGCGTTGCGGGCAAGATCCTGGACGAGCAAGTCGAGGAAGCGATCCCACACCATATGGCTGTCATGGATGCGCCATTGGGTCGACTCGGCTCCCCTGTGCCAGACCTCCAAGACTGAGGGCCAAGTGAAAACTTCGCGCCCGACGATCCGATCTTCCTCGGTCCAGGAGCTCTGACTGGCATCGCCATGGGCCGATTTGTACAGGTAGAGCACCCATTCTCCGTAAATACCCCAGAGTTTGGTGCTGCCGTACTCTTCCTCGACCGATCGTTGGCAGAGCTCCATGACTGCGATGCGTTCCTCCACCGATTGTGCCAGCATACTTTCATCCTGGATCCACTCCGCCCACAGATCCTCGCCCATGGCGAAAAGCTTGTCCATCTCCTCGCGAGCGGTGCGCATGTCCTTCAGCAGATCATACTTGCGTGGATCCCCATGGATCTCCGGGTTGTTAGGCGGATAGACGTGGTTGACGAAGCCCGCGTGTAGCAAACGAATGAACCGGACGTGCGCTTCGTAAGACTGTGGGTTTTCCTGTATCTGAGCAAATAAGTCGGTCGCCTGCCGCTGTGCGTTGGGGACCAGGGAGCTATCCAAGTAGCTTCGTTGGGCGGTCTCCCGGGGACCGTCGGACATCGCGATATCGAAGGAAGATCGAGGAGTGGGCGTATTGTGGGAGATGGGGTTGACGTGAGGGAACATGGTGGAGGGTGACAGCTGGCTTTCGTAGGACTCGGTGCTGCGCAGGAGAGGGGCGCCGGGGCGCTGAGGCTGGTGATGTTGCATCGACGCTAAGTCGGCCAGTGTGTCCATACCTGGGGTGGAGGGTTGTCTCGCAGGCGGCAAGTCGGTTGCCGGGGGTGTTCCGCTGCCGCTGCCGCTGCCACTGCCACTGCCCATGCTAGGACCAACCTTGGGGCTGTTCGTGGGCGGTGACGGATCAGGCAATTGATTCGGGGCGTACACATGTTGCGCCAGCGGCGAGGAGGTCATACCCTGCTTGGTTGCGCCGGGACGAGACTTTCGCAAGGGTTTGGGCTGCGGCGGGCCTGAGACGGGAACCGAGGCATTGTTGGCAGGCGTAGACCCCGCGGAGGGCGTGGTGCGCCCGGACTGTGAATTAGAATCCTGGGGCGAAAGGAGGGAGTTGATGTCCATCATCAAGGCTGTGGGATGACGGGGTAAGAAGACGAGAGCGAAAACCGGGGCGGCAGATATCAAGCAAAAGTCCAAGCGCCAGCTATGGTGCTGACGTAAGGAAGTTTTTGAAGTGGAATGAGAGACTAAGGGAATAGACGAAAGAGAGAGGGGGGGAAAAAAACTCGAATTAGAGAGGAACCGTTGCAAGTGACCTCATCAACGAGTCCATTCCTGCACTCGTCACAGCCTGGCCAGATTCTTCTTTTTTTTTTTTGCTTGTGTCTTGAGGTACCGAGGGATGGAGTGGCGTATTCTTGCTTTTGAATATCCTTGTTGTCGGTCTAGGTAGGGTGGGATGGAAGGGGATCCGTTCGTCACGTATTCGGGCCAGTTGAGTGGGCTGGCCGACGGCAGGAAGCAAACAGAGGAACTTCAAGAAGTAGAGCAGAACAAGCGGAGGGGGCAAGATAAATAAAAATGGAAAAAATAACAGAAACGAAAAAATAAAATAGAATAAAACCAGAACCGTGAAGGCGGAGGGGGAGAAAGGTTTCAGGTGGGAGAGTAATTAAAATAGAAAGTGATCCAACTCAAAAGCAACCAAACAAATGCAAGTGATGCGGTATTGTGAAGATCACTGGTATTTGTTCAGGCCTCTGGATTGAGTTGCAGGTGGGAGGAAGCTTGACAGGTTGGGCGCTATGCCAAAGACTGCTAAAGTGAGGCGCTGGGCGGAGGTAGGAGAACAACCGCGGAGAGAGCAACGAGCAACAAGGTCGATCGTATTTGTTTTTCTTGGGTTTTTAAACCTCTGATGAACGGAGGAGGCGGGAGGGGAGAGTGGGATAGACGAAGTGGGTGGGAGAAGGGAGGGGGGGAGAGCAGATAATAATCAGATGGGGTAGTAGAGACGAGAGACCTAGGGAGAGAGGATGAGGGGAACAGAGAGACAGTCTCCAGCACACACCACACTATTCACTCCAACCAGAAGAACAGGAACAGATCTTGGTCTCTTGGTCCGAGCGATAGAATGGAAGCTAAAATGGGCAAGTCAGCGGCGGAGTTTGAGCGGGAAAAGAGTTGGGGGAATTCGTGGGTGGATAGGAATTGGGGAATTAAAGGATAGGGAAATTCACACGCACGGGATGACCCTTTCGGGGGGGTGGGGGGGAGGAGAGGGAACCTGAGGTTGATGAGGTGGTGAATGGTTTGAAAGTAAGAGGGAGGAAGGGGAAGGCGACGGAGAAAGAGGAGGAGGAGGACGAGGACGAAGAGGAGGATCGGAAGACCTGAAGAACTAAACACTAGACACCAAGAGAGGGAGAGTAAAAAAAAAAAAAAAAAGACGAATGACCAGAACGGATGAGGCAGAAGAAGGCAGGCAGTGGATCGACGCGGTGGAGTTGGAGCAGTAAAAGAAGGGTAGGGGAGAGAAAAAAACAACAATCAATAACAATGGCAACCACCACAATGCTTTCTGTTTGAACTACTCGAGAGCTATAGAGAAACAGCTGAAGTCTGTAAATTGAGACGTATCAGGTCGAATATGAATGATTTCTAATCCACTGGCCATCTGCCAGTCTACGACATTATTGAAGTATGTATATTTTGAGTGGTTGAATCTATGGGCAGAGGGAGATGTTTTCCAGAGGTGTAAGTTACTGACAAACTTACTTGAACGTACAGGCAGGCATTCGGTAGTTCACCCCCACTATGAGAGATGATATCGGATCGATTGATGGCGGATGTAACTTCCAGTTTGGTGCTAACTAAGGAGTACTGCTCCATCTGATATCGGATAAAGACCAGTGAAGGAGTCCCAAGGCAATCGCAGATGTTGAATACTGGAATACAATACACCTAAAGTGCTCATACCCTCATTCCAAGTGCACGTTGCTTAATGACGGGCGAGGATCTCGACTGCGATCGATTTCACCGGTTGTGTAACCGGCGACAGGGGAGGACAGCATCCTTCGACGTAATGGCCGCAGCAGCACACTTTCCGATCTGCCGATGTCTCTGTATCTGTCTCTGTCTCTGGTGCTGTCGCCGGGTGACCACCACCACTGGAACACTTGACTCTGATTGACACCTTCTCCGCTTCCCGGGGAAAAAGGAAGTTGTCCCGTGGTGTGTGATGGGTATTAAAGATGTGTCTAGATCGAGAGACCGAGAGGTTGGCTGGCTGGCTGAATGATTGGCTGGTGCTAGCTACACAATTTTGTTCCGGTCGGAAGACATGCAATAAAGGCATGCAAGATTCTTAATCCATATTGAGGAAGTGAAATCTTTCATCATGGCATAGAGCATGGATCTCATTTCACATCCTCTGAGCAGGACAGGGACAGGAAACTCTAGGGCTGGGGCGGCTGTTCCTTAATCGGGCTAGGCGGGCTATCCTGACTGCAACGAGAGACACAGGAAGAAAAAAGACGCAGGCTCGGCCTATGAGGTAATTGTACAGCAAGTTGTCAAGCCTTATTGGCGGCACTAGATTCCAGCTGGATCCTTGATCAGTTTATGACTGAAAGCTCAGCTGTAGTTAGCCTAAGGTGGGTTGAGTGGTAGGCTGGTAGCACATGACCCTGCAGTGAGGGAGCACCGCCGGGGCCCGGGCGGCGGTCGACCTTGCCTGTTCGGGCGTTGGCGGGAACTGCCGGGAACTGACTAGCTGCTGTGGCTAGTGCAGAGCTGCCTCTGTGGCGGGCATCTGTGGCGGTGAGCTTAGATAAACATTTGTCCTTGCCGCATTCACCAGGCAACAAGGCAATCAGGCACTCATACTCCTTCCATCCAGACACACCACTCGCGCAAAAGCCAAGCCCATCAATCAACCGACACTTTTTTCCCTCAAGCATCTCCGGATCCCCGTTGCACGCAAATCCCTCTCTTCTCCCTCCCTTCCCCCCCCCCCATCCTCCCCCATCATGGCCTCAATGGGTTCAATCCAACCCTACGGGCACCTCATCCGGTCAGGTAAGGACATCCGTGACACCTATCTCCCCCCCTCCATCCACATTTCTCATATCCGTGACCCCATCCATTAACACCAAACAAACCTGCAGCCCGGACCAACCTCACCTACGTGCCACGCCGCACCCTGACCTCGACCGCCATTCGGTATGCGCAGGAGGGTAACAACGACAACAACGCCCCCAACAACAAGCCCAACCCCGAGACCCAAACCTCCAAGCCGTCCGCCCTCTCCTCCATCAAGAACTTCTTCTTCGGCGGCGGCAGCAAATCCGACGCCCCGAAGCCCACCATCCGCCCGGTCACCGCGCCCCCGAAGCGCGAGGGCTCTCTCGGCACGGACTCGATTTTCTCGGAGGATGAAGCCGGCCCGAAGCTGATCACCACGGGGCGCACCCCGACGAGCCGTAAGACCACCGCCGCCAGCACCACCACCGCCGACGGGCAAGGGCCCACGGAGGAGGAGCGGGCGGCGGCGGCGGCGCAGCGGACGTTCGCGGTGGAGAAGCGCGACCGGTCGATGCTGCAGGCGGTGCTGGACCCGAAGCCGCGGACGCGGCTGCGGTGGGAGAAGAAGATGGTGATCCGCGAGGTGCGGCGCCGGGGCCGGCTGACGCGGGCGGAGCAGATCATGCGCACGGAGCGCGAGTCGCTGGTCAAGTCGCACTTCTTCAAGACCTCGATCAAGAAGCTGGGCCCCCTGTGCCGCCAGATCGCCGGCAAGAGCATCGACGAGGCCATCCTGCAGATGCGCCTCAGCAAGAAGAAGGCCGCCAAGGACGTCCTCGAGCACCTCAAGCACGCCAAGAACATCGCCATCGTGCGCTCCGGCATGGGCCTGGGCGCCGTCGTCCCCAAGGTCGAGGAGGCCGAGGAGGCCACCGCCGCCGCCGCCGTCGTCCCCAAAAAGCCCACCCCGCAGCCCGTCACCATCACCCTCAAGGACGGCTCCAAGAAGACCATCACCGACCCCACCGCCATCTACATCGACCAGGTCTGGGTCAACCGCGGCCCCTACGGCTACGAGGCCGACCACCGCGCCCGCGGTGTCATCAACATGATGCGCCCGCCCCACACCGGCATGTCCGTCCTGCTGAAGGAAGAGGCCACCCGCATCCGGGAGTGGAAGGAGCGCGAGGCCCGCGATCTCCGTCGCCGCAAGGCCCAGCTCTGGACCCCGCTCCCCGACCGCCCCATCACCCAGCAGAACCAGTACTACTCGTGGTAGATGGACTGATCTGACGAGTGGTTGTAATCTTTTTTTTTTTTTTTTGTTCTTCTTTTTCATGCCAACAAAACCGGGTAGCTTCTTTGTTTCGTGGTTGTCTGTTCCTCGATATCTTTCTACTTTTCCCAGGCGTTCCGTCCACAACCCTGTATTATGTCTTCTAGAACCTTGAAACCTCCTCCTTTTACCCTGAAGAAAGCAACTCTAGCATCTCTCTCTTTGTTTCTGTTTCCGGGCAGCTTCTTTTTATTCTTGTCGGGTTTTGACCTGATAGATAAGGTAGGTAGTGTGTGTGGGTGGGGGTGTTTGATATGTATGGCATCTGCATGAGCAGTTTCTCTTTGGCAGCTCGAACCTGTGTACAATATATTGCGTTATATACGGTTTATCCCTTCCTCTAACTGCATTACCCTCAAAGTATTGGTCCCTCTATCCGTACAGTATCAGTATCAACTTACAACAACCGAATAACCAACCTTTCTATACAAGATACAAACAGTACCCAAGGACAGCCCCAGCCCCCGATACCATACCATACACAACCAAACCCAACCCAACCCACCTCCACCACCGCCACCCAGTTTACTCTCGACTACCCCGATCCAGGCACAGCACCATCTTTACAAACAGGCGGCGGAAACCACGGCTCCGCGTGCATCGGCGGCAGCGCCCCGGCCACGCGCTCCGCCTTGACAAAGATGGGGATCACGCCGCCGGTCTCGAGCGCGAACGCCCGATGGCCCGTGATCTGCAGCATACTGGTGATGGCGCCGGAGTGCGCTGTCAGCGACAGAAAGGTGTTGCCGTCGTGGCTGAAGAGGTCCTGGAACAGGTCCCGGAAGCGCTTGTCGCGCGCCGAGTCGGACTCGCGCAGGCGGGCGTCGTACAGGGGGTCGGCCTCGGCGAAGCCCGGCTCGATGCGGTAGAGTGGGTATTCGGCCTCGATGGCGGATTTGGTCGAGCGGCCGTCGCAGGTGTGTTGGCCGATTGTTTCGCGGAGGAGCTTTTTTTTGGGGCGGGGTGAGTAAGCTGGTGGAGAGGGGAAAGGGGAGGGGGATAGGGGCTAGGCGGTAGGGGCGGAACGTACTTCTTTGATGAGGGGACGGAAGGGGTCCGTATGGGGGATGCCCAGGCCGCTGAAGGTGTGGTTCGCGGTGGCGAGGCACCGGTTCAGTGGACTCACGTAGTAGGATTCGGGGGTGGGGATCTTGTGGGCGAGTTGCGTCTTCCAGGCGGAGTGGGCGGTTTGGGCTTGCGAGATGCCGAGCGGGGTGAGGCGGGCGTCGACCCAGGTGCCGTTCTCGTCGCCGTCGAGGAGGGACCAGTAGCACTTTTGGGAGTGTCAGTCAGGGAGAGGCTGGGCCTTGGGATGAAGCCGATATGGGGAGTACGTACATCCCACAGCTCGGTGCCGTACTTGGCCTCGGCGACGTTGTGATAGCCTTGGCCGTGTCGACCCAGGAACAGCACCTTGTAGACCGTGTCGGGCTCAGCATCCCGGTTCAGCGTCCGGACCTGGTGCTCGAAACGCTGCCATTGCGTCTTGTTGCCCTCCGGGTCGAACTCGGGGTCCGAGTCGTAGGGCCGCGGGATCAGGCCGAAGTTGGCGGAGACCTGGTTTGTAGTGTTAGCTTCGCCAATTTTGTATATGACTACGGGGGGACTGGGCAAGTTTTAATGGTAAAGGACCCGTACATAGTCGAAGCTGCCTGCGTCGGTGGTGGGTTCACTTTGCAGGAAATACCCTGGGACGATGGAGAACCGCCAATGCGACTCGGACGGAGTGGACTCGGCCATCAGAAGGAACCCGGCTGTAAGGAGAGTGGCCACGAGGAGGATGGGGCTTTGCTGAGCGTTAGTTGAAGGCAAAACGAGGCTCTGGTACTAGGAAGTGTATCTGAAGTACCAGATTGGGGAAGGACTTACATGATCAGTGGAATACGAAAGATGGTGCACAGCATCAACCGGCGACGGGGAGCGAGGAGTTGGTTGTGATGGTGGTGGTGGTCAAGCGGCCAATAGCCGGGCGATGGGTCCCCAATGCGCCGGAACCGAGCCGGAAAAGCTGCCAATTTTCTCGCCATCCCTTTCTTGGTCTCCCGCTGTGGAGTTGATCAGTTAGTATGGGGTAGTTTGATCGGTCCAGGAGGAATTTGGTCCAACTGAAATTAGTGGGAGGAATCGCATCTAAACAACACCGACAACAAGCACCGTGACAAAAATGGTGTTGTCCGGTTAAGGGCTGTTTGCAGGCAGCAGGTGCAACCACTGCAACCACTGCAACCAACCCATGGAACACCTTCGTTTTCCCACGTGTTCCTCCCGAACGGCTGACCCATGCTTGAGTTGCCACTGCCTACCACAGGCACTCGGCACTTTACTTATACTACCCTACTCTTCACGGCTACAAGCACTGGACAATGTAGAATCAGATCAAAACAGCAGTAATGCCATTCACCCCCAGCCGAAATTATGAAACTAGCTTTTCCTACCAGTCACCAGACCCGAAAACACAACCCAACATTATACAACATGCAATCAAACAGGTATATGGTATCTTCCGCGCAAACCAAACACAACGTTAAATATTGGCATATAAGATTGACGATCTCGATCACCAAAAGCCTATGTCCTTGCGGACGAGCCAATGTTTCCTCAATGTGGAAACTGCAAACTTGCCGAAAGAGGAGCCCAACCAGGAAACAACCATGTTCCCAAAGTCGACAAAGCGCGTGAGCGCAGACGGATTCTGTACAAATACAGAGCCAGTGTATTGGGCGACGGTTGGTAGTTGGGTCACGCTTGGCTGCGTATCCGACGTGCCACGCCTGTTTCTTGACAGCGGGGTGCGGGTCGTGTGGCAGCCACTGTTCACTGGTTGAGTGTTGACATGGGTCTTGTCTCGGGTTTGATCGCAGCCTCCACCGGATACAGCGCCGCGGGAGACCTCGATGGTCAGGCTCTGTCGGGGGTGGGGGCGTAGACCATGGTCGGGGCGTACACCGTGATCGGGGCGTAAGCCATGATCGGGGCGTATGCCATGGTCGGGGCGCATGCCATGGTCGGGACGTAGCCCCTGGTCTGGGCGTAGGTTGTATAGTTGCAGGTATTGACCGAGACCTGGGGTGCGGATTGCACTGCCATCCGATTGGAAGTGCTTCCTGTTCGACGTTGCAGCCGCCTGGTCGCCGCTGCGGCAAAGTGCTGCTGGCTGTGGAGGTCGATGGACTAGAGAGTCCGGCTGCCCTGTAGTTGAAGGGCGCACAGGATGTCGGGTCGTTGCCCGCAGAGTTTGATCCTTCTGAGTTACAAGGACGCTGACCTTTGATGGACGTAGCGCATGCGGCAGTTGCACCTGTGAGCGTGCAGTGGCCGGCTCTACTCCGTGGAGTCCGGTTGGTTGTAGCGTGGGCGAGATGTTCGCCTGCTTCCAGCTTATGTGGCGCTCATTGCCGCGTCCATGGATGTGTACTTGGGTGTTCGTCGCCGACTGGGCCACCGCATGGGTGGAGGAAACAAACGAGCCGTTCGCCAGGCCTAGAGCAGCCGCCTTCTCGAGGCAATTGCACTGCCATCCCATTAGCATAGTGTCTGGGATAATTGTGGGCAGTCCATAGGGGGTCAACTTACTCGCTTGTGCTGTTTTCGATGCTTCTCACAGGCTCCGTATTTCCGGACCTTGATGTAGCTCTCCTTCTGAGCTTTCGATCTGGGCTTCTGTTTCTTAGGCACGTTCGTCGTTGTATTCATGTTCAGGTCGAGCACCAGCTCCATGGCGCCACTAGAAGGCGAAGCCTGCGGCGTCGTTACTTGGTCCTTCTCACTCATGTCTGGCGACGAGCCATTGGCGGGGGTCGCACACGAGCCAGTGCTGCTTTGTGCGGAGCCCGACCAACAGGGAGAGGGGAACGTGGAGCTGGAAGTCGACGGGACAAACTCGGAAGATGAGGCCTCCTGTAAGCGCTGCAAGTGGATAGCAATAGACGCATCTCGTCTCTTCTCTTTGAGCGTGGAACAACCCGAGTCGGCCATGGCTTGAGCCTCAACCATTTGTCGGATGCTCGCGTAGAAGGGGTCTTCAGGGTAGGTTGCTTCTTGGGGCCACGCATCATCGAACGTTAAACCGGCGAGCTCTTGGTCTGAGAGGGTGGGAAGTGGTTGGATGGCATCATTTGCGCTCAGGCCTATTTGCGGGCCATTCAATGACAGGCCTGGGTACGTCTCGTATGGGCCGTCATAGCTCACGAACTCCGAGAACAGGTTTTCGGGACAAGCCGTGGGAGTGGCACCCCAGTTGCATTCGCCCAAGTCAGGGAATGCTAAGTCGAAGTCCCTCGGCGAGACCGAATCAATCGAGGTCGCATTGCTGTCCAGACAGCCGGAGGGGATATCAAAAGAGTTGTTGAAGTCGAACCACTCCTCATCGGGTGTAGTTTGGCTAATCTGACAGAGCAATTGGTCTGCAGACATAATGAATGGATGAACGAGGGGTATTAGGGTATCAAAGAGTATATGTGTAGTAGTTTAGAGATGACAGAGGAGCAGACGAATGTACCGGATTGTCTGATAAGCGGATAAGACAGACTAAGAAGATGAGTGACTATGACTCACGTCCTTGGCTGTGGATGATGAATCAGGGAGGGGGACACTGTGCTCCCTTGAAGGTATAAAAAGACAGGCTGGGAGTAAAGGAAGTAGAGGTAAAAGAACGGAGCGAGGAGGAGAAGAAAAGGAAGCCAGGCTGAGGGGGTCGGAGACACGGGTCTGTCTTACATAGAGGCTGAGGAACGAGGCTCATCTCGACCCATCCCGCGCCTTGCCTTTTTTGGGACCCCGACCAGAAATCCACTAAGCCGTTTCGAGACCCCGACGGTCGTCGCCCGCCCGCTGGAACATTACTTACCCCGTCTTTCCGGATGCAACCCTATCCTTCTTTAGCCGTGGATTGCTTTGGCTGGAAGAGCATGACTTGAATAGAATCCCTCAATAGTAAAAGGCTTGATGCTAGCCTTCACATTCAATTTCTCTGATTGTTCTGCATCACACCTAAGCACAACCCTTGAGTATGATTGATCTCAGACCTGGTTGGGATGGTTGTACCCCGCATCAAATATATACTTTTTAAGCATTCAAATTGGAAGGACCAGTTTAGCCTAATGACATCATGTTGCAACAGAAAACAATCCATATTTAGAACTGCTAAGCTACAAGACATACTCATACAAAGCTTCGAAGATTAGCGGCTTAGGTGGAGGTGATGGAACATGTAGATCATTTGCTATACAATACATGCGATATGCCTAAGAACCCCAAACTCCATCCGAGGTATCCAATAAGGTGAAACAAGCTCTACTCATAATTTTCGCTTTTCGTAGTGGTCCCAGTTCAGCACGCCCGTAACATCTCCAACATGCCTTTGGTTTGACAAGCTTGGTGCGCCATCTCAACCTCTTCACGCACCTTCCGGTGCAGCCTCTCCACCATCTTGTCGATCTGGGCGGACTGGCCCAAGTTGCCCGAATAGATATCCAGAACGTTCATGGCCACCTCGACGCAGAGGGTTACCAGTCGTGGTTCAGTGAGGTTCTTCTGTACCCATGCGAGCACCGGCTGCAGTGTGACTTCGTCGCGGTTCTGCAAGGCGGCACGCAGGGCAGAGCGATGGCGCAGCGCCGTGAGAAGCGTGAGCTGGGCCGTCTTGTCGCTGGAACTGAGTACGTGGTCCAAAGCCGCCGAATAGCGGCCCTTGCGTAGATCGTGCTCCCAAGTCTGCTCCCTCTTGCGCTTGCTAGTATCGCGTCCCTCGATCACAACATCCACACCCTCACCAATAAAGTCCCGACCACGGAGACGCTTCTCCCAGCCCGCGCCGCGCTTCTGTTTGGCAACTTTCCGGTCGTGCTCCTCCAGTTTGCCCTCCAAGAGCGCCTGCATCTCCTTCCGACGCTCCTTCTCCTTGATCTTCTGCTGTCCCGACAGCCGGGTCTTGATCGACAAGAGACCGGACGCCATACCGACGGCAATGTGCTTGTCCTCCTGGGAAACGCCGGATTTAATGACACTCAGCGAGAGAATCGGGGACGGGTACTTGGACCCAGACACGACGTTCCATCCCGTCGTCTCGAAGACCTTCATGTGACCGTCCAACGCACCAGACAGCAACCGCTCTCCGTTCGAGGCTAGCGCCAACGATGTGACCGTCTTCTGGTGACTCTGGATCATGTGCAGGGGTTTGCCGGCCACGATGTCGAGGACGGCGATCTTGTTATCGGCGGCGGCGAGCACGGTCGTCCCCGTCGGCATGGGCAGCACGCTCTCGATCGGGGCGGCCATCTTGAACGTCATGGCAGCGCGGGTGTCCACGCGGGGGTCCCAGAGACGCACCGTACGATCGTAACTACCGGAGACCAGAAGGCCCGAGGAGGCCAACGATCCGGGCATAAAGGCGCCGCTGCGCACGTAATCCGTATGGCCCACGAAGCTGCGGGTGCTGTTCTGGCTGGGCAGATCCCACATGCGCACGGTGCGGTCATCGCTGGCCGTGAACAGCGCCGTCGGGTCGCTGGGCGAGAATTTGGCCACCCAGACCGGCTGCTTGTGTTCCTTCCACGTCTTAAGAATCGCCCGCGATGCCACGTCAAAGACCTGCACCGTGCCGGAATCGTCACCCACGGCGACCACACGACCATCTGGGCGCACGTCGGTGCCTCGTGCCGTGTCGTCGAAGCGAGTGATTGTGCGGAGGAGTTTACGGGTGCGGATGGAGTAGATCTGGACGCGAGCGCCCGTGGTCACGGTGAAGACATCGGGCGGCTGGGTGAGAGAGGGGAAGGCGGAGGCGGAAGACGGGGCGGAGGGCTGTGTGATGAGGTTGATGGGCCCGTTGGCTGGCGAAGGAATGAGGAGGGGATTCTTGAAGGTCTTCCAGTATTGTTGCTCCGGTGTCAGGCGGGTGGAAGGCAGCGATGGCAGCTTCACCTGCTGCAGAGGGAGGACGGGGGCAGCCATGGCTGCTGGTTGTCGGTCGGGATGTGAACGATGAGCGGGTTAATCAATCCTCGGAGTGCTCAGCGCGAGATTGGTCAAATGCGCGGGGTTGGGCTCGTCGAGAGCGCTTTAATGGGCTGGACTGGCAGGTTTTGAATGTTCATGGGAAACTTTTTTTCTGAGATAAAATCCGTTCGCATCGGGAAAAGTCTGGACGCGTTGCCAGATTCGGAATAGTGCAGTGTGCATATCACTGCTGACTGATTAGTGAAATTTATGCGGCTGGCTTACATTCATTTTCCAAATGTGTTCAAAGTCAATTACTGACAAACAATATCTTTCTTCAAAATGATTGAGCTCTCAAGGTAGGATAAATTGGTGTGATCAAACAGTAGGACTAACCAGGGCAAATGGGTTGATGCTCAACGTATTTGCGGGTTTCATCAACCTTGTCTCGCCTTGCGAAAATATATTATACAGCTATTGCGGTATACCATACTACGGAGCTATTGGAATAGACAAGACCGTCTCGTGTTCATCTTTCCAACAAATGTCCAGACCTTCTAACTTCATACAGAAGTACTAGATTAACCAGGAGACGTAGTCTTGAACCTGGAACTCGGTTTCTACAGACTCAAGGAAGGCGTGACACTGTTAGGCCTATATAAAGGACATCACAAGGCTCAAAATAACCGTCCTAGGTATTCTCGCAAGTGGTATAGTTGAATGTATTATAACTATCATCACTTCGTGGAGCCCAAAGTTATAGCGAACTCATCATCTATATGGGACAGTATTTATGCCTAGTGTCTGCCTCAGGCAGGAAGATATTTCCGCATGGAACATCCAGGCTCTTGATCATATCAGAGAGCAGAGTGGAAATATTAGCTCCAGCCTAATTTGAAACCAGCTTCCGTAGTTGTACGTCGAATGGTCTCCGCAATTGGTACCTAGGGACCGAGACAACACAACTTGGCTGTAGCTTCCCTGGGAGTTATAGTGTCTCCCGAGCAAATAAACACTTGCCTGTTGCATCTCAGTCCTTGAATCGGTAATAGTACTCGCGTAGTACCACCGAGTCCTACTTTCAAGTACCGATCATGCATCACGAGGACAGGCTTTCTGTACTGCATTCACATGAGAGGCTTGCGTTATTGGAAACATTCCACAGCAGTTTACCCCCGCGCCGTGTCCCCAATTCTGCGGCAAGAATCAAGGGCGGATTGTGGGGTAATTGTTCACACGCGATCTGCTGATGCACCCTACGCATTCCTTCCACAAATCGCCCTTGAGGCGATTAGAGTCAGGCCAATTGATTGAGTCTATTCTCTAAGTTCGGCAAGTGTTCATTCCCGGAGCTGGATGTTTTTCGATTTGCTAAGCTGTGATCTGCTGACTAACTTTGGGGGCAAGACCAGACCACCTTAGAAAGAGATCATGTCGCTATGCGTTACATCAGATTAAGCAATTAAAGTTCGAGCCAGTAGTCCATGGCCACTCGAGTCCAACGGGGACTAGGTAATGATCGTGCTCAGCATGAAGACACACGTTTCACAACAGACCCCCAACCGGTTTTCCCTCGAGCTCAGGGCCTGTTGCTGGTCTTTCCCGCGGTTGAGTTGAGCTTATCTATCACCAAGCATGCAGGATGTTCCGTACAGAGCACTTGCATGCCACATCACCTCCGGAACAACGACCCGTACCGAAAATCCCCGAAAGAATATTGCAGGTGGTTGGTGAATGTGACAAGTCGAGACCGATATGTCTCTAGACCTCGAGGAGCTATCCCGTCCCTTGATAATGGGTTTCCCTGTGCATTTTTCTGGGCGCAGAGTGATCTATCGTGCAGAACCCATGCGTGCTGCATGACCGTGCCAGCTCTCCGCTCGATTCAGAATCGCGGTCTCAGATGCTACTTGCCGTGCATGGAATCTTGTTTTTGGCTTGAGTCAAGCTGATACTCTGTCGGAATAAACGGGGCTTACTGGGCGCTTGTAATGACTTAATCCTTGCTTGCATAGTCACAGACGATTGGTACGGCCGAATCGGTGCCTGAATGCCGACAGCGTCAGGTACCCGACGACTCCACTCGACAGCCACAGACCGGATCAAGCCACAGCGCTTCCCCACAGCCGATCCTGTCCCTCGGAATGTTCAGCAGCATACTTCGTCACTGACTTACCACCTGCGAAGTAACCTCTCCCCACGTGGACTGGTATTTCCGATCGATCTAGAACTAGGATGGTGGTTGGTGTGACACTGAAGGATGGACAGGGGAGGGGCACTTGGACAGATCACCGGGTGCATATGAGATCTCCCATGCCTCCCAATCTCACAATTGATCGGAGACGGTGCCCGTGCTCGGCTTTCGGTCGCCTTGCGGGAAGTGGTTGATTGACTTTATCCACAGTATGACATCAGGCTCGAGCCGTCGCCGACTCTGCTCAGACCTCACTGAGATCCAAACTCCATGTAAACAAAACACACAGTGGCTTTGACAGGCAGCAGGATTTGCACGGCAGCTCAGCCCACAAACACTACGTAGTTTAGTTGCTCGACAAGGTTGAATTTTAGTTTCAGCGCCCGGAAAATATGACGATGATCAATACCAACTGGGGCTGACGTATGTACATGCAGTACGGAGAGATATTACTGTACATGGCGCGGCGATAGGTAGACACCAGCGCAGTATGCACCGAGCACTGGACGGTAC